ACGGCGCTAGCGATTAGCAAGGTGACGATAAGGCCCCGAGACTAACAACATCACAGACACCAAGGGCTACCTTGAGCTCATCGTCAAGAAGTACCCCAACGGCCCCATGTCGACGCACATGCACGACATGACCCCCGGCCAGCGCCTCGACTTCAAGGGCCCCCTCCCCAAATACGCCTGGTCCCCCAACAAGCACGAGCACATTGCCCTCGTCGCCGGCGGCACGGGCATCACGCCCATGTACCAGCTCGCGCGCGCCATCTTCAACAACCCGGACGACAAGACCAAGGTGACGCTCGTCTTTGGCAACGTGACGGAGGAAGATATCCTGCTCAAGAAGGAGCTCGCCGAGCTCGAGAACACGTACCCGCAGCGCTTCCGCGCTTTCTACGTGCTCGACAAGCCGCCCAAGGAGTGGAGCGGCAACAAGGGCTTCATCACCAAGGAACTGCTGAAGCAGGTTCTCCCCGAGCCCAAGAGCGAGAACATCAAGGTGTTTGTGTGTGGCCCGCCTGGGTTGATGAATGCCGTTTCTGGAAACAAGAAGAGTCCCAAGGACCAGGGCGAGCTTGTTGGTGTTCTCAAGGAGCTGGGATACGCTCCTGACCAGGTCTACAAGTTCTAGAGTCAGTGCCTTTTTTGTATAAAAGGGGGGGGGCCATAGATATGAAGAGCGTCGACGGGGAAGATTTCTTGTTGTATGAATAGTCGAGGCGATAGACGCATAGATTACTCGAAGCGATGTCCGCAAACCGCCAGCATTCATTGAGGAAAGGGTTACTTACCAGCGAGGTATCGGGATGGAGTTTACCTGATCCGATGAATCATGTGAACTTTTTGCCCGTCGATGTTAGGTACACGCAACTGAACACTCCCATGCCCATCTCCAGTTCCTGCCCAAGTAATGTACACCTAGCCTATATGATGTACCCCCTCAACGCCATTCCTGTTACCAGCCAGGAGGTGCCCGTATAGGTCGACGGGTCAGGTCAAAATGGCTGGGTGATGGAGTGGTTTATGGTCAACAATCAATTACGCTTACCTACAGCCTACTCGACGATAGGCTACGAGTTCGAGTTCGATTCCCAGCATGAGCACCAAGAGATGTAGTCACACCGGTGGTGAACTCTTTTTTTCTCTTCCCCCCCTCAAGGAACTTTCAATGCTGATGTTGTATATAATGCCTAGCCGGTGGCTAGGGAACTTGTCATCACTACGAGAAGGCAGATTTATAATGCAAAAATGATTTATTTTTGTCACTTGTTCAACTATACTAGATATTCAATATTCAATGCTGAGTACTGTGTGGAGTGTAGCACGTAGGCTAATTTCGTAGTCTAGGCTCTGGGTTCAGAGGCTCTTGGTGGCGGAGGCGATGCACTCGTTAATGATGCCGGTCCACTTGAGTGCGTTGTTGAAGTCCTTGGCGTCGATACTTTCCTGGAGACCGGGGAAGACGGCTGAATCATATATGTCAGCATTTGACTCAACAAAACGTAAAGGAGGGTGGAAACCCGCCACGGGGGAGAAAGAAGAATATTAAACTAACCTCCAGAGTACCCAGTCCACAAACCAGGCGCAAAGACAACGTGCTTGAACCAGGTCCGACCATCCAGGCCGCCGGGGTACAAAAAGTTGCGCTCGAAGCCCTTGTAAGACCTGTTGACCCAGACGAAAGCCAGGGCGAGCTTGATCTTGCGGTACAGGTTCCACCAGGGGATGCTGCCGTACTTGAGCTCACAATCAACGGTGCTGGCCGTGGAGTCGAGGACCACCGTCTTCTCGCGCAGGGCGGCGATGGAGGTGCGGAGGATCTGGAGGGAGGTGCGGAACTGCGAGAGGGAGCCCTTTGCGTCTGCGTCGGCGACGGCGATGCTAGCGCGCATGCGGAAGAGGGCCTCCTCGTCAGAGTCCGAGGTCTCAACAGCGGCGGCGAGCTTGGACTCGACTTGGTCGACGTAGCCCGTCAGCGCGTCGGCGTAGTCGGTGGCGTTAAAGCGGATGACGGGTACGTTGGCGAGCTCTGCGACGACGAGGCCGAGGATCTGGGCCATTGTACGGTGGTAGACGAAGCCCGGGTCGCCGAACTCCTTCATCCAGTGGAAGGAGTCGTAGTTGGAGTGGTACTGGTACACGACGTCCTCATTCTCGCCGCCGAAGCCAAAGTCGAGGGAAGGGATGCCCGCGAAATCCTGGAAGGCGGTGAAGTCGGAGCCAGAGCCCATGGTGCTGATGCGGCCGTCCCAGACGTCGGCGACAGTCTGCCCGGGGACGGTCTGGTTCGGGGAAGGGACGAGCTGGGTGACCTCGCGGAGGACGCGGTGGAGGAGGGGCGCGGCGGAGGGGTTGAAGTTGGGGCCGCGGACGCCAACGTCGACGTTGACGTAGGCGACTGAGGCCTCGGTGAGCCAGGGGAGGTACTCCTCTACCCACTCGGTGCTGCCGATCAGAGAATACTCTTCGCCGTCCCAGCTGGCGAAGACGATGGTGCGGGTGGGCTTCCAGCCGCTGGCGAGGGCGACGCCGACGCCGCGGATGACTTCGTTTAGGACGGCGGAGCCGCTGTTGGGGTCGCCGGCGCCACCGGCAATCCATGCGTCGCGGTGGTTTCCGACGACGACGACCTCGTTGGGGATGGTGCCGTTGACGATACCGATGACGTTCCACAGTGGCGTGGTGGTGTAGTTTTGCTCGTTGTAGAGGTTGAGGACCACGTTGTCGGGGGTGGGACCGATGTTGTACTCTACGCCCTTGTACTTGAGTCCCAGGTTCCTGTTCCAGTACTTGTTAAAGTCCTTGACAGAGGGACCGTGGCCGTTGAGGGCCTTCAGAATGGGAAGAGCATCGGCATAAGAGATGGGGATGGAGGGAATGGACGGCGTCGCATCGTCGACGGGAGCACGCGGCGCGCCGGGCTTGGAGGGGTAGCCGGGGGTCGACGGGTCACCGGGGCGCTGGGAGAGGAACTGAGCGCTTCCGCGCTGAACGGCGCTGGGATGACGAGCAGGGCCGTTGGGGTACGCCTCGTACCCGTTCTCCTCGGTCACTTTGCCGTCATCGCCGGGGTCGCTGTAGAGAAGAGCGCCGATGGCGCCCAGCTCCTGCGCGCGCTTGATCTTGAGGCCGCGGAAGATGCCGCCGTATTTGGCGATGACGATCTTGCCCTCGAGGCTGACATTGGCCTTTATGAGGTCTTCGTAGTCCTGGTACGTGCCGTAGTTGACAAAGACGAAGGATCCGGTGACGTTGCCGCTGGCGGAGTAGCCGTGGAAAGTCGGGACTCTGTCCTCCAGGCCGGAGGAGGGGTCTTCTTCGAGGACGTCCTCCTCAAGAGCAGCCTTGAATTCTACCGTCCAGGTAGACTCCTCTTCCTTGGTCCTGGAGAGCAGGGAGAGGCTGTGGTCGATGGGATAGTTGAGGTAGACGTCGTATGACACGATTTCCGATTGCACACCCCACGACTCCCACTTTTCCTTGGTCCATGCAGCCTGTCACACATTGTGAGATAGTACTCCATTGATATCTACTGTGATGGGTTTACCTGAGAGTAGTTCTGGCCCGCCAGATGGGGACCAGCAGTGTAGTACCTGCTCCATTCCTCAGCCTTTTCAGAAGAGGGGACCTCAAAGAGGATCTTTTGCACCTCCTCATGAGTAATGGGAGCGCTGTTGACACTATTCGTCCAGGTCCAGCCGTGATGGTGGTGACCGTGGTGACGAGGAGGCTCATCGATGAAGAGCGCAACTACGAAGAAGATGGACCAGAAGATGAGGATGGAAGAGAGTGCAACGGTGCAGAACCGGCGCAGGACATGGTTCGGGTACCTGCGACGCGGCGCACCAATGTAGACATTGGTGATAAGCGGCGTCCGCTCATTAGACATTTTGTCGTCGAAACGCTTTCTGGATTAGGGTCAGCGTGAATACATCAAAAGCATGCTCACACTCTATGTTGGGAGCTCGTCGACGTGCGATCCAACGATGAGGCGAGTGATGTGATGTAGGCAGGAGGATGAGACGCGGGAGCACGTGTGGCTGACGAAGACGGTTGCATCATCCCGTCGCCGCCAGCCACACTACGCTGTGGTAAGCTCTCATTAAGCTCAATGTAGCTTGCTCACAAGGTCAATGGCTGCAAGGCAGCAACAGAAGAGATCGACTTACTCTAGCGCCATCTTGCAAAACGGAATTCGAAGCCGTCGTCAACAATTGTCTCTGCGCCTTTTTACCAGAGATGTAGTTGAAACAGAGTTGAAGTTGCCATGAGCATTGCGTGCTTCGTCGATGTTATCAGCATCAGTGGTGATTTTGCCGATCGGCTGCGGCCGCCTGGTGAATCCTCCACGGGCACTGGCACGCGCAAACGTGATTGAACAGTTCTTGCTGAACGCTGGGTCTCCTTCCTGATTCGGGGGTTCAGACGAGGGGGAACGAGAGCGGGTCATCGGCGTCCCGGTGCCGACGTTTGGAAAGGCCCGGAATCAGGACAGGCAGCGATAACAATTTCTCAAGGAGGAAAAGGTACGGAAGTCTTTCCGGTACGATTCGACTTCTGCAATTGCACCGACGGCCCCAGCATCCCGTCCCGTGACGCCGCATCGACCGTCGCTGTTAGCTGCGCAGACCGAAGCTCAGACAGTCAGACATTTGATCAGTTGTCAAGGTCAACATGTTACATCATCTTATCTAAGCTTTTGGCTACAGACTAAAGGGCGCCTTTGCCGCCTGTCTTGGATTCGAGTCAAGAGAGGCCCTCTTTCCGGTCGCTGCGTACATCGGCTAACGTCGGTGATCACGCAATTGATTGGGTGGATGTCGCCCAATCAGTTCTTTACAGTCCGGATACGCTGCCTGCCGACCAACCACCACTCTCCGAATCTGCCTTCCTGCACCGCAGCTCAAGTACAAAGTATATCAGACATGTCCGCCTTTGATTTCCTGTAGCGTCTCTCTCGCATGGCGGTGTGTTGTCTCACAGCCTTTCCAGGACAGATGTCTTGGGATACGCATGTTTGGATTCATGCTTCAAGTGCTTCGCTGGCGCTGAAAGCAGAGGATCACCCCTGTCCAGTCGGCTGGTGATGATTATTCAGCATTGTCGCACTTGCCCCGATATTCGGCCCCGGCTTCGGCCAAGTCGGCCTAACGCCGCCGGGAAAAGAGGCCCCCCACCGGCAAAGACTGGACGTCATGGCAATTGCGGGGAGGGCGACCTTTTGACCTTGCGCTCCAGCAATTTTATCGACTTTTTTTCGTTCCATCTTTTTCGGTTTTGAGGCGGCCTTGGAGGAGCACCACCACGGTACCGCCACCACCACCACCAACATCACCGGGCACCCTCATCTTTTTTCGGCTGCACCACCGGCTACAGCGAGAACCCCTGCCCTTTTCCGTGCCCGTGCAAGCCGTTGCATCTTTCACACCCTCACCGACTCCAGCTCCCAGGCCTCTGCCGACAACGGACGTCCTTCGCCTACGGTCTTTCAAGCATTACGCCGGCCTTGTCCCCTGCCGTCAAACACTTTCCCTGTCACTACCCAGTACCCACCCGATCGCCCGCCCGCTGCCGCCGTATCGCCTGGACCGGGCCAACATCTTTTCGCTTCAGCAACAGGGACATGCGATGTAGCCCGCTCGCAGCGAGTAGGCGGGCGAGCGCATCACTCCTTGGACAAGTCTCAAGCCGAGAATGAGAGAGACGCGGGGCACCGCTCAAGCCGAACCAGCGTCCCCTAGGTAATAGCACTTGATCGTTTCCGAGACACTCGACGTCCGCAGTCATCCCATCTTGCTCCATCACCGCAATGCAGCAGGCACTTCGTTGGTCACCTTTTTATTTGCTCGCGTCTCGCGCTCGCTCGTCTTCGCTTGCCGTCGTCACTGTCACGCACTTATCCCACATGGCAAAGCTGATGCGCAAGCAGCCTGCGCTAGGTTATCGCAGGTTGTTCTCCCCAAACCTCTAGCGCTGATATGCCTTGCCAAGCCCAGTCCTGCGGCAAGCGGGAATTCCCATCTTTCAAGTCTCCATCTAATCCCCGGGGAGGCATGGCCATCTAAGGCCCCGATCCCCAATTCGCGGTGGTTAGCCCCGTGGCCCCTTCAAAAGTGAAGCCTCGTCGGCCAGTAATCGACTAGAAATCTTCCGTCAGCAGAGAGAGCGGGGATCGGCGCAGGATCATGGATGGGGGGAGGAAAAAACGAGTCTGGTCCCCGTCGACGCCGGCTCATTGCACCCTTCACGGGGATTCTACTAAGGAACTGCAAGAACTGGGGGGGATGACTGCGGTTCCATGAATTTGCATAGGTACCCAGTACCCACGCTATTCCCTGCCCGGCGCAGTGCAGCCGCAAGCCTGCAGCTGGAAAGTGGATCAATGCCGTTGGTTTTTTGTTTGCGCTTGACGAACCGTCTTTTTTCTTCGCCTTCCGCTGCTACTGCTCTTGTGACTCTTTTTTTCCTCTCCTTCCCCAATTCTCCAATAAACTTTCCTTTTGGTTTAAAGAAGGCAGTGGTCGCCTCCGGTTTCATACTCCTTGCCTTTGCCTTTGCCCTTTGACAACTTGTTGCCAAGTCGCACAGCAGAGCGCATCATATTAACCGCTGCTTTTCCCACCTAGACTGGTGCTTGCTTCACGTCCTAGTCCCGATCCGTTTGCTCTAGAACTCTTGAAATCAACGTCGAAGAACTTCGACCTCGCAAATCCCGAACCGTAGAACTCGAACATTCTCAGCGCGACTTGTTTCTCTCCCTCGACTCTCTCTCGAGTGCCAAAATGACGAAACCGACAAAGCCAAAGTTGCCCGCGAAGCAGCTGGCCATTCTGGGTAAGACAACCTCAGATTTCAGAACTTGTCAAGCGCTTGCTTTTTTTTTTCTTTCTTTTTTCAACCGCGCTTTCAACAAATCCGATAGCACCGGTGACAATCACAGCCAGGCAAGTGCCGAGGAACCAGGCATACCAGCTTCCGAATAACTTCAGGGTCACGCGACAGGAGAATCGTACTTGTCTGGGGATCGCCTTGCTGGACTACGAGAGTATGGATGGATGGAAATTTGCCTGTTCTCGCCATGTTGCCGTCATCCTATCTTTAGACACACGTACTCCAAACCAACCTCAAAATGCGACTTTAGCATGGTCTTGATCTTCCAAGCTGCCTGATCAATGTGAACCGATGAGGTCGACAACGTCATCTAGCCGAAGGCGGTCCAGCATGTACAAAGGTGGACTGTAGGACCCAGATTTGACATCGACTCGGCTCAAGGTGCCCTCTGATACATTAGAGAGGCACCCGTCGTTCCTTCCAGATTCTGATGCTAACTAGATTACAGCCGTTGCGCGATTTGCGGAGCCTCTCGCCCTCACTTCCGTCTTTCCATACCTCCCCGAGATGATTCGCAGTTTCGGCGTTGAGCAGAACGATGTCGCAAAATGGGCCGGTATTACGTCCGCCGTGTTCTCCCTCTCTCAGAGTGTAACAGCGGTGCCTTGGGGTAGAGCTTCCGATAGATTTGGAAGAAAGCCAACCATCATCGTCGGTCTCCTATCGACAATGTTCTTCTTCTGTGTCTGGGGTGTATCAACAAGTCTGCCCATGGCAATCGCTGTGAGAGCTATTCTCGGAAGTGGAAACGGAAATGGTATGCTTCCTAATCAGTACGTCCACGTTCGGTGCTGATAATTTTGTAGTTGGCATTATTCGCACCATGGTCGCAGAGATGGTGCCAGAAAAGGAACTGCAACCCCGCGCGTTTTCGATTATGCCTCTAATCTGGTCCGTTGGCTCAATTTTCGGCCCGGCATTTGGCGGATTCTTCGCCAGGCCTGCCGATCGCTTCCCCGCCGTCTTTGGCAACAGCTGGTTCTTCAAGGTGTATCCATTTGCCCTGCCGAACTTCATCGCTGCGGTCTTCTTCTTCATCTCTGTCACAACCGCCACTCTTTTCCTTAAGGAGACGCTGGAAAGCAAGCGCCACAAGCCCGACTGGGGTCTCCTGATGGGCGAGCGCATCACTCGCTCATTACGCCGCTCTCGTTCTCACCACCACCACCATGCCAGAGCCAGACGCACCTCATTTGTTGACGGTGAGGCTACCGCACCTCTGGTGCCTCACAAGACCCCCCCAACACACCCGGTCGAGGACAACAAGGCCCTGGAGGCACCCAGCATGAAAGAGGTCTTCACTTCCCAGACGAGTATCAACTTGCTTTGCTACACCTTCCTCGCTCTCCACTCTGTGGCATTTGACCAGGTTCTCCCGGTGTTTCTGAATTATCCCAAGCAGGAGCACACCCCGGAAAACACGAACCTGCCCTTCCAATTTTCCGGTGGTTTTGGTCTCGATTCTGGCCGTATCGGTACCATTTTCACCATCTATGGTATCACTTGCGGCGTGATCCAGTTCTTTGTCTTCCCACCTCTGTGCAACTACTTTGGTGTCTTGCGCAGTTTCCGAGCATGCGGTGCGTATATCATATTTCCCTCTTAGGCATTGGATTAAAAAGCTGACAATTTGAAAAGCCGTGACTTTCCCCGTCGTTTACATTGCGGCCCCCTATGTAGTCCTCTTTGAAAGCACTGCTGGACGCTACACCGCTCTCTTGATCGTCATGTTCGTCAAAGCCTGTGCCGTCATCATTGGCTTCCCCTGCATGACCATTCTCCTGACCAACTCGGCCTCTTCGCTCCGTATTTTGGGTACTCTCAACGGCTTCGCCACCATGTTCAGCGGTTTCGGCCGTGCTTTCGGTCCGGCCGTTGCCGGAGCTGCCTTCAGCTGGGGTGTCGCCAGAGGCTATATGATCACCGCGTATTGGTTCCTCGCGCTCACTGCCATCATTGGCGCCATTCCCATCTACATGCTGGTCGATTACGATGCTCTGACCCAGACCCCCGACACTAGCGATGACGAGGACGAGAGCGTCAGCGACGAGGGCTACGCCAGCGACGGCAGTGTCGTTGCTTCTGGCAGCGGACAGGCCGCTTCGAATGAGACGGCACCGTTATTGGGTGCGAAGAATGGGGCACCGGGATACGACTCCGTCAGTCCCACGCGGTCTTAAGGTGACTATCTAACCCCTTGGTGACCGACATGCCGCTTTCATACTCGTCGCAAGCGCGCATTTGACGATTCAGTCGAGAATGATACAAAAACGAAACGCTATATACGAGATTCACGGCCAGCTCTTCTGAGGACTAAGTTTTTCATTGGTCTTGATTCGTGGCTCTGTTACCTTTGTTGCATATCTAGGACCATCATTGCCTGGCGTCTAGCATTGCAGGTTCAGCAACGGCTTGTTTTGTTGTCAATGAGGGCATTGATTTTGAGCATGTTTGGGGCGGTTATTAGAAGCATCATTATTGTTTGGTTTCATTGTCGGCATTCGGACACATCTACATGGGCATTGCTATTTGCGAGTAGACGTTTTGATCCATTTATAGGAGCTTATAATCACATTTGTATAATGAACAAAACAAAACGAAAAAAGGTCGATGATAGTAAACTCAAACTCTTAACCTGTTGCTCGCATAAACTCGCAAACAAACAGGCTGTCCAATCGTGGCATTATGAAGGATCGTGAGCCAACATAAGAGAATCGCACCGCTCGGCTATCTACTACTACGGACGCTGCTTATTGCCTACAAGGGGAGGCAGGGGATTGGATGAGGACCATCAAGGTCGGGTGGTTTATGTGGCAGTGGAATACACCACGAACAACATCATGAAATGTCAAGAACTATCCAATGGTGCAATTTTGGTGTTTGGGGCATCGTGAGTGAGTAGCGAGCATATGCTTAGGTGCTGAAGGCTGATGGGAAAAACAAATCAGAGTCGGACATGTGCCACATCAAGAAGAGTGTCACGCAAAGTCCTTGCGAAGTGAACAGTCATAGTCATTGAAACTAGATTTGGTTCTTCTTTCTCATTGAGATGTTTTTTGGTATTCAGTTCGCTTCATCATCCGTCTATCTCATGGGCGCTTCAGGCCCGGACCACCACCCCTTTTTTCTCCAAAAAAAAAAAGACTCCGAAAACTCCACTAGGCTGAAGCACACTGCCGTCCTACCCAAAGCCCCCCCCGTCTTTTGCTTCGCCCTTCCCTTGAGATGGGTTTATATACTCTCAGAGGGTGGTGAAGCTAATTTTTCTTTTTTGTATCCTCCCTACATCCGTTTTTGCCCATATGCCTTTTGTTTGATTTTCATCAACCCCTATTCTTTGTCCCAACCAAAGAGAAAATATTCCCAATTGACATCTTTGTTATCCGTTCATCATGTCCGTGGTAGCCTTACTGCTACTAGCTAGCTAGCTATTTGCCGTTTTTCAGGCAAAGAGCTTCTTCTCGTAGGACTCCATGTTGACGTTACCCTCCATCTGAGCACTGGCGGTACGGAGCTCGAAGCGCATGGTGCCGTTGTCGACGGACTCGCGCAGCTCCTTAAGAGACTGGATACCGCAGTCCTGCATGGAATGCTTGAGGCCGGCGGAGAGGTAGGGAATGAAGCGGCTGATGGGGCCGCGGTGGGCGACGGAGCCAGTGACACCCTGAGCGACGAGGACGCTGTCGCCTTCGGAGAAGTAGCGGGCGGTGCCGGCGTTGCTCTTCTGGCTGTCCTTGCCGCCGTTACCAGCCTTCTTGTCCTGCATGGCGTCGATGGAGCCCATGCCGCGGTAGGCCTTGACAAGCTTGCCCTCGCGGGAGACGAAGGAGGTACCGGGGGACTCGGTGGTGCCGGCGAGGAGACCGCCCATCATGACGGTGGAGGCGCCGAGGGAGAGACCCTTGACGACGTGGCCGACGTTTTGGACACCGCCGTCGGCGATGCAGGGGACGCCGAAGCGGGCGGAGAAGCTGCTGACGGAGTGGACGGCAGCGGCCTGGGGGCGGCCGACGGCCATGACCTCCTGGGTGATGCAGGCGGAGCCGGAGCCCATGCCGATGCGGAGGCCGTCGACGCCGGCCTCGATGAGGGTGGCGGCCTGTTCGCGGGTGACGACGTTTCCGCCGACGACGTCGAGGCCGGGGAACTCCTTCTTGATCCACTGGACCATCTCGACCTGGTACATGGAGTTACCCTGGGAGGAGTCGAGGATGACGACGTCGAGGCCGGCGTCGACGAGGAGCTTGAGGCGGTGCTTGTCCTCAGGGCGGGTGCCGATGGCGGCGCCGCAGAGGAGCTGCTTGCTGTCGGGCAGCTTGGAGGCCAGGGGGAAGTGCTGGTTCTTGTTGAGGTCGGAGCGGGAGATCATGGAGACGAGGTTGCCGTTCTTGTCGACGATGGGGAGCTTGCCCTTCTTGGACTTTGCGAGGATCTTGTTGGCCTCGGGCAGGGTGGTGCCGTCGGTGGCGGTGATGAGGTCAGTGACCATGACCTTGGAGATGGAGAGGGAGGCGTCATCCTCGAACTGGATGTCGCGGTTCGTGACGATTCCCAGCAGCTTGGAACCGAGCTTGCCGGATTCTGCAGACGATGGTTAGCCACATCTTGCTTTGAGACGGGCCGTAGGCCTGCTGCAGTTGAAACAATGGTGGTAAAAATTTTGCTTTGATCATAATATAAGGTCTCCTCAGAACGACATGGTCGTCGAATTGGTGGAACGAAAGTTATAATTGAAAAAGGTTTGTAATCATGTAAAGCGAGGGGGGAAAGAAGTCAAGTCCGTGGGAGAACAGGCTCTGGGAGTGAAAAAAAGGGGGTTGACAAACCTGTGACGGGAAATCCTCCGAAACCCCACTTCTCCTTCAAGGCCTTTGCCTCGCCGACGGTGGTGTCGCGGCTGATGACGACGGGGTCGATGATGAAGCCGTTCTCGTAACGCTTGACCTTGCGGACCATGTCAGCCTGCTCCTCGGGCGAGCAGTTGTGGTGGATGACACCGAGACCACCCTGGAGAGCGATGGCGATAGCCATCTCGTGCTCGGTGACTGTGTCCATGGGGGAGGACACGAAGGGGGTCTTGAGGGTGATTCTCTTGGTGACGGGGGAATCCAGGACGACGGCAGAGGCGGGAAAGCCAATGTAGCCGGGAAGGAGCAGGAAGTCGTTGTAGGTCAGACCACCGTGCTTCTTGGTGTCCATGAGCTCGTGAATATCGAGGCCATCGCGGCTCTCGTACTCCTTCAAGACCTGGAGGGCGGTCTTGGAGTCGAGCACTTTGGCGCCGTTGATACCGTTGGTGGAAGGCATCTTTGTGTGGAAAGGTGAAGTTTTCTCGTTTTCTTGCCGAGCGAACAGAAGAAAGATGAAAACGGAGTCGAAGAACTTGCTAGTAAATCGAAAAGAAGACCACACAAAAAAAGCTTGGTCGATTCGAAAACTAAGGTTGGTTATGTCTCTTCTTCCCGTAAGAAAGAAGGGAAAAAAATTCTTGAGACGGCACCCCGCAGGAAATTTTTTAAGGTGAACGGTGCGCGACCGGCGGAAGGAGGGGCAGGAGGGGCAGGCGGTGAGTAGCTACAGTGCGGCGCAACTTACTTGGGTGCACCTTTACTGTGTTTAGCAATTTCGTAGGAAGCATTGATTTCCCAGTCCTTTCGATCTATCCGCACGAGGTAGGTCTTCAGGCCGATGAAGGAAATCAAATCCTGTTTGCTATCCAGTTCACTTGAGCTTTGTATGGATCACTGTCATTTTCTGTTCATAAGGAAGGGGTTTCGAGATTCCAGACGCCCAGAACGAGTCTGGAATAGTGCCGCCAAGTCAGGTAGCAGCCGGTAGATCTAGCATTGGCTTATGTAAGAAACATCGGGGTCTCGACTCTCGAGATATGACGCAACCCCGACGGGCACCTTGGTGGCCCCAAAAAAAAAGGTCAACATTGGAGTCAAGAAAATCCAACTACAATTCAGAGCACTAGAGTCGAATGCTATTTCTGTCAATTGTTGACGCAGGACCTCTTGCAAGAGTGCAAATGAAAATTTTCAGTCCAGACAGAAACCAAGGTGCCTTGTTGAGAAGGGTCCTGCAGAGTTTGCTTGTCTTCGTGGACTTTGGTTGGCCAGAGCAACCGACACAGAACAATCCTTGCTTGCGTTGCGTGAGCTGGACAGAGACCCCAGGGCCAGCAGAAGTGATTGCATCCTTCCGTTCGGGAGCGAAAGGCGGTGGGATACCGAGGAGGTCGAGATGGCACGGGAGCGAGAAGCCCGAGTACCTAAGTAGTACTGAATGTTTACCTTACTGTCAATCCTAAGTGCTTGGTCTTGGGAACGTCTCTCACCCGTCAAATAAGAGTGTGCATCCATTCCGAGTTGCAACATACATCACTTGCTACTAAAGAAAGCTAACGTGCACTACCTAAACTCTAGAAACGTCGTTCATCCATCATGAGCTGAGACTGAGCCTTGGTGGGCTCTGATTGGCTGTTTCATGATCCAAAACAAAAGAAGGAACAAAGAAAAGAAACGAGACCAAACAGCGGTCCTCATACCGATAGCCAAAAAGACGAACACACAAAGTAAAAACCTTCCACCCCCTACGTACTAGGTATCGGTCAAACTTTGGCTGTCCAAATGACTGCAGCGTTCGTATTGGCGGATCCATAGACTGTGCTGCACAAAGGCGTTTTACAAGCAGTGACATGCATCAAGCTAGAGAATGGGGGTGCCACAGATAAAAGACCGAGTCTTCGAGGGGGGGAGGTATCCATCACAGCGCGTCCGTACTGTGATCCTTGGATCATTGTTGACGTCGTTCTCACAGATGGACTCTCACCTAGTTTCTGTCCCACAACTTTGACTTCGTCAATGATGTCTGCAATATGGGTTCATCCAGAGGGATGGGTAATGTTTCCTGGGTGACAGACAGTCAGGTTAGATTAGTCGACGTGTCAAAGGCTGTGAATGGGGAATCCATACGGAGTAAACGATGGCATCTGTCAAAGTAGGTAGGTAGGTCAGATGAGCGGCGATGGTTTAGCCCGCAGTCAGTGACGGGTCTTCCAAGGAAACTGCCTGAACATGTTACCCAGATCGTCCTTGCAGCTTTGGGCCTCACCGGACCATTGTGTTGTTGACCAGAAGCTTTTTGGGATAAGTTGGGAGAACTTGAGAAGCGCCTGGCCCAGAGAAAAGCAGATGACAATCCAATTGACAGAGAGCGGAGGCGGGGCGGAGGGCCGTGCAACGGAAGATTGCTGCATCGATACCCACTTTAAAAGGCCGGGCGGGTGCGACGCAGGGGCCAGCAAGAGCCACAAGCCACCCGAATTTCCATGGCCTCCCTCCCACTGGTTGCACGGGTTCACGGGTCTCAGTGGCAGACTGGCAGCAGTGAGTGGGTCCCCCTGTGGCACCCTGGTTGCAAGGGGGCTGGTTGCCGCCCTCCAGCTGCCGTAGTAAACAAACAAACTGCCTTATCAGGTCCCAACGCCCTCCCACTCTCACATCCTCCCCCTCCATTGCCCGACCTCCAAACGACCCAACATCCCACCACCCACACCTTGTCGATTGACGAGATTGCGACCGCCCTCTTTGAATGCTAGAGGCTGGACTGGTGTCAAGTGGGAAGCACATCTAATATCTTCTGCCGAAATATTCCTTCCCAACATCATTGCCTTTGTCACCGACGCTGTCGCCTTCATTGCTCAACGTCTTCTTTGTTTGCGCAGTGCGCGCTCTCATTTTCCGAGAGTCCGACATCCATTCTTCACCCGCGCTTCGCCGCGCACCATCGCCGGTCGCTTCGAATTTTCAGCTTTCTTCCTCCCCTGCTTGATCCCGATAGTTCCGCCAAACATCATAGAAACGGAATCTCGACAGCGCCCTACCAAGAGACGAGACCGCGAGGTCGAAACTTAATCCAACCCGCGCCGCATACCTTGCCTGCCGACGTCCGACAAAGGCGCCCTAATGTTGTCATCCGAATTCCAGAGTCCACAGATTTTCGATTGCAGCCTTCCTCCAGTATCCTAATCTTCGCCCAACATGTCGCACCGCCCGCACCCTCTCAGACAATCCCATACCCTGGATTACCCCGGCAACATCAACCGTCAGTCCTCTACTGCTTCGTCCATCGCGTCTTCAGGGTACTCTCTGTACTCTGAGAATAGCAGAGCGAGTACTCAACTCTCTTCAGTGTCCAGCGGCTACTCATTACCAAGTTCTCATAAGAGGGGCAAGAGTGATGGTTCGCGACTGCATCAAGTTTCATTCGGAGGAGAGAACCTTGACCGCAAGAGGGAACAAGACAACAACATCTACTCCATGACACGGCAATCGCTACGCCCGCTTCCTCAAGCCCCCGCTTCTTCATCTCCTACCAAGACACCGCCGACGGCCTCGACCCCCTCACCGCCTCGACCAAGTTATCGCCATGAACGCACCCAGAGCGTCGACAGCGGCAAGCTGTCACACGCCCAGTACGACGGCAGCACTTCCCCAACTCCAATATCTCGGACTCTGACGATCCGCCCGAATTCGATGATGCTCGGTCGTTCCGACACAATCAGCCGAGGCAGTGCAGCTTTACCTCATGCATACGAGCCACCATCCGCAGTGCACTCTGCCTCTCTAGCACGACCAGATCTCGAAAAGCTGGGTAGGTCATCCACGAGCCAGCTACGCACCTTATCAAAGCTTGCTCAATCCGAGTCTGCCGACGAATTTGCCATCACAACCCCAGCACAAGAAGTCATCGGGCTGAGGGGTCGACGGAGATTGCAGAGAGCAGACAAGCCAAACAACAATCGAGCTGGTCAGCGCACCGGTGGATATGGCTGGGAAGGGAGGAATTGGATGGACAAGCAGCGCCAGTTCCTTCAGGCATACGAATACCTCTGCCATATCGGTGAAGCCAAAGAATGGATCGAGGACATCATGCACAAGTCAATCCCTCCTATTGTCGAACTAGAGGAAGCTCTCAGAGATGGCGTCACACTCGCAGAGGTTGTTGAATCTTTGAATCCCGACCGAAGATTCCGCATCTTCCGACATCAAAAACTGCAGTTCCGGCACTCCGACAACATTGCCATTTTCTTCAGATACTTGGACGAGGTTGAACTGCCCGATCTCTTCCGATTCGAACTGATCGATCTCTACGAAAAGAAAAACATCCCCAAGGTCATCCATTGTATCCACGCTCTCAGTTGGCTGCTCTTCAGAAAAGGAATAGTCGACTTCCGCATCGGCAACCTCGTTGGCCAGCTCGAGTTTGAGCACCATGAGCTCGAGGCCATGCAGAAGGGTCTGGATAAGCTTGGGGTCAACATGCCCAGCTTCGGCAATATGGGAGCCGATTTTGGTGTCGAGCCTGCGACCCCTGAGCCTGAAGAGACCGAGGAGGAGAGAATCGACCGCGAGCTTGGCGAGAGTGAAGAGGCCATCGTTGAGCTTCAAGCGCAAGTCCGCGGAGCCGTTGTGAGAATGCGCCTGGGAGATACCATGCAGCAGCTTTGGGACGTCGAAGGGCCTCTCATCCAACTCCAAGCTCTCATCCGAGGTGATTTCACCCGTCAAGTCATCGGCTACCGGCTTCAGATGAGACGCTTCGCGGTGGACTTGCAGAGCCTAGTTCGCGGCTTCCTCGTTCGAAACAGGATGGCCAATAAGGAGCGCTTTTGGAGAATGCTGGAACCCGATATCTTGGAGCTCCAGAGTCTTGTTAGGGCCAAGAAGGTCCGAGATGAGGTACGAGATAAGAAATCTCAGCTGGCACGCCACGCCGGACCTGTGCGGAAAATCCAGGCAGCATTCCGGGGTTTCTTGGTCCGAAAGGAGTTCGTTACTCAACAGCAAGAGACGGTTCAGACATCTGGAGAAGTCCAAAATCTCCAAGCGGCTGTCCGTGGAATGTTGATGAGAGGACGAATTGCGGACGACCTCGAGCTCCTTGACAGACAGACCGACAGCATCGTTAGCCTACAGGCTGCTGCCAGGGCACTGCTGACTAGAGATCAGATTTCGCGAGAGCAAGAGCATCTGCAAGGCTCTGCACCCAAATGGGCTACTCTTCAAGCCGCGATCCGCGGCCAGACGCTCCGAAATGACGTTGCAGCAATCAAGGTTGAGCTCAGTCACCACATCCCCGAGTTCGAGAGTCTACAGGCAGCAATTCGAGGACGGGAAGTCCGAACCGAAGTCGCGGCGACAGTAGAGGAACTCAGCCAGCATATCGCCGAAGTCGAACTCCTCCAAGCAACAGTGCGAGGTAATTCAGCGCGCAGAGAAGTTGCGACGACCAAGGGCGAACTCGCCCAATGCGTCTCTGAAGTCGAAAGCCTTCAGGCCCATGTCAGAGCCGGAGCTGTCCGCCGGGACGTCGCCCAGGTGCTCGATGACCTGAACAGCCACGAGGCAATCTTCGTCAACCTTCAATCGCTTATCCGAGCCATGATGGAGCGACGCCGCGTTGCTGCTGATCAAGATGCGCTCTCCCGCGTCGAGCCCAAGGTCACCAAGCTCCAGGCATGCATACGGGGCTACCAACACCGCCAACAGCACGCGGGACTACTCGAGGAGCTTAAGTCTCATACTCCCGTCATTGAGAAGCTCCAGGGGCTTGCGCGCGCCATGATGGTGCGAGGAGACGTCTTCAACCTGATTTCAGATCTCGAAGAAGAAGAAGGAACGATCGCCGAGATGCAAGCTGCGGCCAAGGCCTTTGTTGTTCGAGCCAAGTACGAAGAGAAGAAGCGATTTTTCAAGGAGAACATGGAGAAGGTTGTCAAAATCCAGAGTCTGGTCCGCGCCAAGATTCAAGGAGATGCATACAAGAGTCTTACTCATGGCAAGGACCCGCCAGTCAACGCCGTCAAGAACTTTGTCCATCTTCTTAACGACAGTGATTTCGACTTCAACGAGGAAATCGAGTTTGAGAGGTTGCGAAAGACCGTGGTCACGCAAGTTCGCCAGAACGAGATGCTGGAACAGTACATTGACCAGCTGGATATCAAGATTGCGCTCCTCGTCAAGAACAAGATCACTCTGGATGAGGTTGTTAGGCACCAGAGCAACTACGGTGGCCACTCCATCGGCCTTCTGGCGAACTCGTCAATCTCTTCGTCCAACCACTTTGACTTGAAGGCATTGAACAAGAGTTCGAGGAAGAAGCTGGAGTCATACCAACAACTGTTCTTCAACCTCCAGACGCAGCCTCAATACCTCGCACGCCTCTTCAAGCGCATCCGCGAGCAGGGCACCCCTGAGAAGGAATGTAAGCGTATTGAGCACCTTATGATGGGGCTGTTTGGGTACGCCCAGAAGCGCCGTGAGGAGTACTACCTCCTCAAACTTCTCGCCAGAGCCATGCGGGAAGAGGTCGAAAGCAGCAGAAACCTTCAGGACTACCTTCGAGGCAACTACTTCTGGACAAAGCTCCTCGCGAATTACACCCGATCCCCCCGCGACCGGAAGTACCTTAGGGAACTTCTTGGCCCTATCGTGCGCGACAATATTGTGGAAGATCCTGCTCTTGACCTCGAGAGTGACCCTCTGCAGATCTATAGGTCAGCCATCAACAACGAAGAGTTGCGGACTGGCCGTCCCAGCCGCCGTCCTCTGGATGTTCCCCGAGAGATGGCCATCAAGGACCCAGAAACAAGAGACCTCTTCATCGACCATCTCCGCGACCTCCGAGAGATCTGCGATCAATACCTGCTGGCTCTGGAGGACCTCTTGCCAAAGATGCCGTACGGTGTCCGGTTTCTCTGTCGCCAAATGTTCGAGGCCCTTTGTCAACAGTTCAAGAAAGAACCTCAACACCATATCCTGCAGATTGTCACAAACTGGCTTTGGCGCTTCTACATGCAGCCCGCTGTCATTGCTCCTGAGAACGTTGGCGTCATTGAGAAGCAGTTGAGCCCTCTTCAGAAGCGCAATCTCGGAGAGGTTGCCAAGGTACTCGGTCAGGTAGCCTCAGGCAGACCGTTCGGCGGCGAGAACATCTACCTCCAGCCTCTGAACGCTTTTGTGGGCGAGTCGATGGAGCGTTTGGCTCAAATCACCCACGACCTGATCTCTGTACCAGACGCGGAGCGCAATTTCGACATTGATGAATTCAACGACTTGTACTCCAAGAACAAGCCAACTCTGTACATCAAGATGACGGATATCTTTGCGATCCACAACCTCATCGTCGGCGACCTTCCGATGGTATGCCCCAACCGAGACGATGTTCTCCGCGAAATCTTGCAAGAGTTGGGTAGTGCCAAGAACAACGAAAATGAGATGCTCTCAGCGGGCTCTTCTGACATTCAACTCTACCTCACGCCAAAGCTGCACGACATCGACGATCCGGATGCGGAGGTTAAGGCTCTCTTCATGGAGACGAAGCGATGCATCCTATACATTATTCGCGTGCAGACTGGCGCCCATCTCCTCGACATCCTTGTCAAGCCCATCAACCCTGAAGATGAACACAAGTGGCGGTCAGTCCTGCGCGACGACAGAGTCAACGACGCAAACACCAAGGGCGCGTACTCGGACGCCCACATGGTGGATGTGACTCGGATGTCGTACTACGACCTCAAGCGTACGGCGCTTGAGAACATTATGCGACTGGAGCACATGGGCCGAATCTCCAAGCACAACTACTACCAAGATATCCTCAACGCCATTGCCCTCGACATCCGCACCAAGAGCCGAAGACGTGTACAGCGCCAGCGTGAACTGGAAGGGGTTCGATCGACTCTCGCCAACTTGCATGAGAAGGCCAAGTACCTCGAGCAACAGCGCAAAAGCTATGACGACTACATTGAATCCGCAATGGCGACATTACAAAAGAACAAGGGGTAAGTCTAGACAATTCCTATGCGCTGCATATCAACACATCCACATGTCCGATCCCCGGATGTGATCTCCATCCTCCTCCACCCTTCAAGTCTTTTTCCCCCACCATTCCCCACATTATAAGCACGGTCCAGGTGTGTCGCCATACGCTGACTAAATCTCGTCATTTTCAACAGAAAGAAACGGTTCCTGCTTCCGTTCACCAAACAGTACAACCACCAGCGCGAACTGGAACGCAGCGGGCGGGTCCCCAAGTTTGGCAGTTACAAATATAGCGCTCGAGCTCTAGCGGAGAAAGGCGTGCTTGTCGGGTGGAGTGGCGTCACCGACTGGGAGAGGGTCAACCTCACCATTTCGTGTGATGAGGTGGGCGTCTTCTCGCTCGAGGGGTCGCGCGGCCACATCCAGATGCCGGGGGCGAGCGCCCTCGTACCCATTGAGGATCTGCTGCAGGCCCAGTTCGAGGCCCACCAGTTTATGAACCTTTTTGAGGGGAGCCTCAAGCTGAATGTCAACTTGTTGCTGCATCTCTTGTACAAGAAGTTTTACCGTACGCAGTAAAACGGGAGTTGTAGCAACACAGTACAAGGCATGAATTCAACGAAGGGAGGATGGGCGAAAAAAAGGTACATGAGACATGGATTGATGTGATGGAATTGGGCACGAAAGCGTGTCGTCGCTTGGGATGGGGGGCGTGCAGGATATCTTTTTTTGCTTTACTCATGTCTTTCTCTCTCTCTCTGGGAATTACATGAGACGGGAATGTTTGGACTTGGGAAAACCGCATATTTTGAGGGTTTTTTGACTGAACAAAGCAAGGCGAGGGTTGGGCGGTCTCTTCTTTTATTCGTCTTTCGTTGTAGTCGTCTTCTTCTTCTTCGTCGACTCAGTATTCTATCCGACATTCGCATTGCGGGGTAACAAAAATTCAATTAACTGAGGCGGGGGGCAGGGGAGGGGTAGAGAGGGAAGAAGAGGGGAGGAACAGAAGCATTGGTTTGTAGGAGTATGTATGTGAGCAAAGAAAAGACAAACAACGATACCGTTCAAAACGAATTGAATTCGAAGGGTTGGGCGAGCAGACAGAGGGGCGGGGGGAGATAGTCGATCCCGTCCGTTTGTCTTGGCGACTGATAACCCGGAGACCGAGGTAGGAATGGAGGAATCTTGAGAAGTTGGAGACGCAGTGGAATAGTGGGTGCGATGCATTATGAAGATTCCCGCCTAGATGTCTTAGTTAGGGTTCTTGTGTAGATACCTTGTTTCTTTCTTTCTTTCTTGACATGATATATACCCCGCATTGTTAAACTCCTTGTTAAATTTCATGATGGACCAGAATGGTTATGCCGCGTGTAGACGACCAAGGCGCAGCGTGGTCACGATGTTTCCGAATAAGTGTGATGGTGTTGATGCGTACTAACGGGGGGGAAGAACACACACACACACATACGGATGCAAATGAAAGTCAAGGTTTCCGTAGCCTCGCGGATGTCATGGAGTCGGGGAAGAGTTTTGGTCCCGTGGCCTTTCGTGGGGATGCCAAGAGTCGACGGCGAAACGCGAGGTGTGTGGTCATGTGAGTGGTTATGATACTCTTTTTCGGGGGCGCAGGCTGAACCACGAGATCCAAGGGGGAGGGAAATCAAATTGGGCTTTTCAACAAGGGAAGCGTGTCCTGTGTGGTGGAGGTGGTCTTGATGATGGTGTATGCTTCTATCAGGTTAGTGGTGTTGTTTGTTGGCAAGGAACTTGAAGGAAGATTGGTTGCGGCTCTCTTTTGTGTGGCGTTGAGACCCGGGAGATATGAGGGGTCCATGACGGCTGAGCGGGGGGACGATGTTCTGGCCGATCATCGATCGCGTGCCTCAACCTCCGATTCACGGGCCCCTTTCTTCTGTCTATCAATGCCTTCTGGTGTGTCACTGCTGTTATCTGTCAAATGCGTGGGTTGCTGGCACTACGCACGTGTGTGATTGACGGTGTATCAACGAGGGTGCAGATAGGCAAAGCGGGACAAGGTCTAGGGGTACACAACAGCGCTTTTCGCCGTAAATTAATGTATTGGATTGTTGCATGACTTGTCAGCCTTCTCGACGAGGGAAGGTTGATTTGTTGTTCGCCGTTGGTTGGTGCACTGGTGAGCGTGACGTTGTGTTCCAAAGGGGGACCCCTGGCCAATGTCTCAGCAGAGCAGGATGAGATGTGATTCGAGGGTCTAGTTTGATTTTGCTGCACGGTGTGCAGATGCCCGATGCTGACTACAGAGGAGGGGCGCCCGTCTTGGGGTCGGGAGTAGCTTGGCATTGTTTGTATGCCGCGAGTGGCCGTGAGACCGTCGACGGGACGTTCGGGGTGGAGGGGTACGCTATCCATTGAGATACCAACCTTGGACGCCTAAGGTACCGGTAGTGTAAGGCCGGAGGGATGGGAATCGACGATATGCGCCATTCATGCAATTAACGGGTGCGGAGAAGAAATGTGTGTGATGGGCTGGCTCATCAGATGATCACCAGTGTGCACTCTGGGGCGAGGGCCACGACTCAGCCGAAAACGAGCTGGTACGCCTGGTGCAACGTCGAGGCTGATCAGCCTGAGCAAACGCGTGGTGGGCGGGGGTGTGAGGGCGACGGAAGCGCATGGGAGGAAAGGAACGGATCGCCGGAGGGTTTAATCCTCGCCCTTGCTGGGAAATTCGGAAGAAAAGCCTAGATGGCTAATGCTGATGCTGCATTGCTGCGTTGCCAATGCTGATTGTTGTGGGTGAAACGATAATGTGAGTCGGAATCCGCAGTCTAGTTGATGAAGCAATACTGGAGCGCAATGATGTGATTGCGGTATGGCTTGACCGGGCGCCGGGGCCTCAACACCGGCGGTAAGCATTTATCGAGTATTACAGTTACTCACTGGCGCGTTGGTGCGTGCACCGGTGACCAGTAGATTTGAGAGACACATCATTCCGGGAGACAGAGACGTCTAGACTCTGGAGGCGGTGCGAGGCACGAAGATGAGCTACGCCCGGAGTAAAAGAACTTATTCCGATGGCGTGACCGGCCAGCCATGAGGGTAACCCCGCAAATGCGGGGTGGGATCCGGCGGGAGGTCGGAGGTGGACGCCATCACGACATCTTCTGAGCCTCTCGATGGTGGAAATGCGAATTGGTGATATGCCAGGGGAATACCTACGAGGCCCCAAGAGTATTGCCACAAAAAAAACATGTCGCCGCCTTGACGCGGGGTACAGATGCCAGATGAAAAGGACAGCCGGGAGGTGGATTTGAGAGATGAGCCAGGCGAGTTATCGGTTGGCGGTTCCGACAGTCCCTGCCCGTGCCTGTCCAAAATTCCCCATCTGGAGCCTGGAGACTGGAGAAGTGCCCCGTTCGCTTCGGTTCGCAACCACGGTGTTGGTGTTTGTGCCCTGCATGCGTACACTGGGGCCTGGGCCAGAACAATTGAGCGCATTACACCTCACTTGTGTGTTTGTAGATGTTACCTTCCGACTACTCAGTCTGAGTTTTGTATGGATGTGAGCGACAACAACCCATCTTATCTCAATCTTCGTTTCTCATGCTCCGGTTCGGTGCCTTCATCAGTGGAGGTCGTTGAAGGGGGAACGGAGTCCTCCGTAATTTTGTCCCGTGCGCGCAGGAACGGCATGCCCCCATGGAAGCGGCCGTTATCGAAAGTATGTTCCCTTTGGCACACCAGGACCGTCCAATCCTCCAGCTAATCGGAAGAGGCCCTGTTCATGGGTTGAGCGACGCTTATGCAGGTTGCGGGCAGGTCTTTGGGTAAATGTCCAGCTGCAAGAGGGCGATTGGGGTATAGTCGTCGAGATCCAGGGGTCCAATTAGCAGGGGACTAGCGAATGGGAGAGAATTTGTTATTCCTGCTTGAAGCATAACGAAGCTTGTTAGTGCTTCAGGAGTCTAGGGTGCCCCTACCAGTCATCACGAGAGGCCGAGATAGCACAAGAGTAAGACTAGGTAGCCGGTCCATGCTCGTTGTTCGAGAAGGTGTAGCCGACCGTTTGGGTTTCGGGCGCTGCGTTCTCATTTGTCGTGGGACGTGTTGTTCACACCGCCAGCCATCGCTTGTCGCTGGGAGTGGCTCGGCTCCCACGGTGTGAAAAAAGCGACTAGCCTTATGGCGAAGGAGCGTTGAAGGGTGATGCAGAATGGAGCCGGATGGAGAAGAAGTTGCTTCTTGTGATGCGAATACGGATACTCCAGCACGAAAAGCCCATGCATTGACAAAAGAGAGACTGTAACGACGAGTTGATGTTGTTGCCATGCTGACAAAGTGTATGAGTGGCTGGTCGGTGCTTTGCATGGGTTATTTCGCAATCGGCTGATCGGAAAACGCCATATTTTGACGCATTGCGCTCGACCTGTCTTCCTTGGATGGAGTCACAGACTACCCATGTAGCGGTTGGTGTAAGCGTAGCGAAGAGTAGTGTGGTCTGGAAATTGTAATGAGGTATCCGTATTGAATGGCGAAAGGAGAAGAAGGTGGAGGAAGCAGAATTAAGGCGGTGACTAAACAAGTTTGGTAAGGCGGGTTGGATGAATGGCTGCTGTCTGACAGTTTTGGCCGATGGCCTACCTACACAGTGAGTAAAGCACCTTCCTTCCTTCACCATTGGATCGGTGACCGGGGAGGGAAATTTGTTGACGATGAACGGGCTCCGAACGATCCTGCTGTCCTCTATAGCCTGCATCTGTCTAGTACCTTAAGGTATCGTCCCTTCATCCCCTTCCTTCCCGCTCATCGGCGACTGTGTTGCTCCTGGCACCTGCGGGCTGCGGCCTTACTGCCAAGGATGGGTCGAAGGAAAGAAGAGAAGCAGCTGGAGCCCCGTGACATTGCATGAGTCGGGGAAAGCCCCACCAACCTGCACGAGCCACTTGGACATGTTCAGGCAATGCGACGGTGGGTACTGGGCCATAGTGGTAGAACCAGCACCGTCCGGGGTATCCTTATCTCACGTACTCCGCAGATCCCTCGCTTGGTGCATATGCAGTGTCTGTGCATGGCGTGGCCCCCGTTTGGCGTATGGCGCTGGTTCTCCTTGCCTCCTGTCCTTCCACGTTCTCCACGTCTCGTCGTCCCTTCCTATCGGGCTCCAAGGGCAATGGCCCGTGGGTCGTACTAGGTAGACCATCGAGGCGGACGGGATTGCTCTTGCTCTCTTCTCTTGGCTCACTTTCTTAAAGGACGCTTCCTCCCACATACGAACGTGATTAATCTTATTCTCTCTTTTCTAGATCATCCGAAAGACCCAATACATTGTGCCTTTTTCCTAATCACAGGCCACCTCGTGCTCTTGATCACTTACAAACTTTTCAATCACTGCTCATCATCATCACACTTGACACACACACACACACATACACACAAACACACACATACACACAAACACACACGCACACCGGCTCTTTATAAGCAGTCTTGTCTTTCGCCCACACACAAGCCACAAAAGACATTCCCTCCACGCAACAAAGGATAACACCACAACTACCATCTACAACACGTTTGCTCAAGTTTCAATAAACAATTCTTACCCGAGACCATTGGCTACAAGCACAATGGCTCCCGATCTCAACTCACTTCCCTCCTCGCCTCTGGCGCAACCCACCAATGGCAAGTCTGCCAACGGCAACGGCAATGGAGCACCAAGCGCGAAGCAGCCCAACATTCTCTTCATCATGGCTGATCAACTGGCCGCACCCCAACTCAAGATGTACAATCCCGAGTCACAGATCAAAACACCAAACTTGGACGCTCTTGCCGCCGAGTCTGTTCAGTTCGACTCTGCCTATTGCCCTTCGCCGCTGTGCGCACCATCACGCATGAGCTTGATCACCGGTCTTCTGCCCATGAAGATCGGTGCTTACGATAACGCCAGCCAGATCTCCAGTGAGATTCCCACTTACGCACACTACCTGCGCCTGAAGGGTTACCAGACTGCGCTAGCAGGAAAAATGCATTTCATCGGGGACCAGCTTCATGGCTATGAGACTCGTTTGACTAGCGACATTTACCCCGGCGACTTTGGCTGGGTGGTCAACTGGGATGAGCCTGATACCCGCCTCGAGTGGTACCACAACTCCAGCTCCATTCTCCAAGCCGGCACCTGCGTGCGAAGCAACCAGCTGGATTATGACGAGGAGGTCATGTTCCGCTCCACTCAGTTCCTCTACGACCACGTTCGTGAGGGCCCCGAGAAGCGTCCCTTTGCTCTCACCGTATCTTTGACTCACCCGCACGACCCCTACACGATTGAAGACAAGTACTGGGATCTCTACGAGGACGTCGATATCGCTCTTCCCAAGGTCCGCATTCCCAAGGAGGAACAGGACCCTCATAGCAAGCGTCTCATGAAGGTCTGCGATCTTTGGGACTACGATTTCACCGACGACCAGATCAAGCGGGCTCGCCGCGCGTACTACGGCGCTGTCAGCTACGTTGATGACTGTGTCGGAAGGCTGTTGTCCGTTCTGAAGAAGTGCGGCCTGGATGACAACACCATCATCGTCTTCAGCGGCGACCATGGCGACATGCTCGGCGAGCGTGGACTGTGGTATAAAATGAGCTACTTTGAGTCTTCCGTCAGAGTGCCGCTGTTTGTCCGCCACCCCAAGGACTTTGAGCCCCATCGTGTGGACAAGAACGTTTCTACCCTCGATATTCTCCCGACGCTGTGCGATTTGGTCGGCACAAAGCCTGCTCCTGGTCTGCCCATGGACGGTGTTTCGTTGCTGCCCCATCTTCAGGGCAAGACCGGCCACGACAAGGTCTACGCCGAGTACACCGGCGAGGGCACTGTCAGTCCGCTCATGATGATTCGAGAGGGTCCTTGGAAGTACATCCACTGCCCTGCAGACGGCACCCAGTTATTCAACCTTGAGCACGACCCTCTGGAACTGGTTAACCTGGCGTCATCCAAGGCCATCACTGGCAAGCTGTTGGACGATGAAGCCAAAGCAAAGCTTGAGGAGTACAACGCCGAGACGAAGGCCAAGTGGGACTTTGACGCTATCACGGAGCAGGTTTTGCAGTCTCAGCGCAAGCGTCGCCTCGTATGGGGGGCTCTTACCCAGGGCCAGTTCACCAGCTGGGATTACGACCCCATTGACGACGGTAGAATGAAGTAAGTTGTGACCGTGGTATGATGAAACAGACTTGATGCTAACATCTTTCAGGTACATCCGCTCGCAGATCCCTCTTGACGACCTTGAACGTCGGGCTCGGTACCCACCCGTGGACAAGTACGGTCGGGAGGTCGACAGGGCCACAACCGGCCACAGAGTTCTTTACGACCAAGCTGGATCTCACGGCCAGTAATTCATTTGCATATTCATTTGCATATTCATTGCATATTCATGATGATAACGACACCAAAATGCATGTCACGGGGGCGTTGGGGCATATCATTTGATTTACAGCACGCGAAGTCTTTTTCTCTTCGTTTTCGCAGATATCCGCAAGGCGATTACGCGTACGATCACGATCCTTAAGACGGATCAGACGCTCTCTGTATATTAGCTTTCAGTGGGGGCCCTAGGAAATGAACGCCCAAAAATTAGCACATAAGCAAGTTACTTGTTGCATTTCAAGTCCAGTCTCCCATGTTGATTCGTGACACCAAATCTCGAGGAAGACTCAGAGGCCAGCTCAAGCAGCCCGCCCATTGTTATTAGGTCTTGACTGTCTTGGTTGATATGCAGCCCATATCAAAGCCCGTGGCGATGTATCGAGACCGTCTTGGCCTCATCTCATAAAGTGAGTGCATCGCCACGCCATTGGCCATATCCGAATGCCTTACGTCAAGCATGCAAACCAGAAGCCAATTGACTCTGACTTGTTCCCTACGACCAGAAGAAGCGTCGCTCGGCTCGAAGGTAGGTAGGCACCTTAATTCAAGGTAACTAGCTCCAGCCTCCAGGGTGAGGGGTAATGGTTCCCTTGTATCCGAAAACCCAGAGGGACCCCCGTCCCGCATGGCCCCTGCGCCTGCAGTGCTTTCGGCTGGGATGCGCCGGCCAGCGGGGTACGCGCTGACGCCGTGATCGCTATCCCGTACTCAGACCCCGTCGACGCGGAGCTTGCAGACCCACTCAACTTCCTCCCCCGGAGTGGATTGGAACGTCACTTCAACCTTTTTCCTCAAATCGCTCAACCTGGATAGAAACCTCCCGTCCGTCAACTCGTAAAAGACGACCCCGCATTACCTGCTCCGCCGCAGCTTGGAAGACTCAATTGAGCAGTCACATCACTTCCCGACACGTTTACTCCAGTCCTTTCCCCTCTGCGACTCTGCAATCGCACCGACTCCCCCCCCGCTTGGTAGCCTCGGCGCGTCAAGACGCGAGCTGTGCGATTTTCAGAAACCCGCCTTCGAGAACGAACGCTACGATTCCCGAGAAACCCTAACGATTTCCGAGCTGTGATAAGCCGCGCGACAATAAAACCTACAAAATTAACCAACGACAATGGACAAGCCGAACGCGCTCGGCATCACCGCCGATGAATTCAAGGCGATTGAGCAGACGCGCCAGCGTCTGTTCCAGCTCTCCAACAGTATCCAGGGCCTGCGGATGGACGTCTTGAAGAGTAACCCGCTTCCTCCCCCGTAAGTCTTTCCCTCCCTTCTTTTGCATCCTTCTCCCCTTTCCCCGGTGGCTCCTATCGATCCAGACACCCGAGACACGATTCAACGAAGAGAAAGAATCCAGAAAGCTAATTATGGCGTGCATCGCAAAAAAAATACAGAGCATCCCTCCAAGCACAATCTCAAATCCTCCTCCGCAACCTCCAATCCCTCCTCGAGACCCTGACGGAAAACACGCACGTCTTTCAACACCTCCACGTCTTCCCGGACGTCGCGTACCCGGGCCGCGTGCACGAGAATATCCTGCTGCAGCTGCTTCGCAAGAAACTCGAGCCGGGCGTTGAGGAGTGGGTTGAGCGTGGGCGGGAGACGACGCGGGAGCTGCGCGGCGGTGGCGGCGAGGCCCAACTCGAGGCGGTGTGGCGCGACGTGCGCGCCTGGACCGTCGAGCGGGTGCAGAAATACGTCCTCGAGGAGGCGGGCGACGTGTATACCGAGGACGAGCGGCGGATGGGGGTGGAGAATGTAAGGACTGGGTTGAGGAGGGGGCTTGAGGAGGAGGAGGAGGAGGAAGAGGAGGAGGATGATGATGATGACGAGGATGGGAGTGATGAGGAGGGTGGTGGTGGGGATGTGGTCATGTCTGGGCAGTCGCAGACGAAGAAACCGACAAAACCAACGGGCCCGGAGCCGGAGATGCTCTTCTGGTTCGAGGCGAGGGGGGACTTTGAGTTACCGCGGAACGTGGACTTGTTGAGCCAGGCTGGTACGAAACGTGGGCGGTGATGTAGGGAGAGAGTGGGAGGGGCGAGGCGAGGCGAGGCGAAAGCGAGGGTTCCGGAGCAGGCAGGACGTGTCTGGGGAAGAGCAGATCGATGATACCCGGCCGCGATGGCGGCTCTTTGAGAGTTTTTTTTTTGAGTTATTTTTTTCGATCTCGTCTTGCAATGCAACTTCAGGAGGGGGGTTATTGAAGGAGGAGAAGAAGCAGAGGAGGAGGAGGAGGAGGAGGAGGAGTTTCTGGAACGGTAGTGATCACTGGATACAATCATGATTACCGTCATTGAGAACTAGAACATCTCCGAAGAGGCAAGCCTTTCACGCGTGCGGCATGCGCAAACTTCCAGCGGCCCCGAAAAGCTACGTGTAGTCTCATTGCCGTGCATTTTATCATCGTGTTTCTAACGGCTTGACATATTCAATACTGCCCCCCATCTTCCGGACTATCACCGTCGGGGACTGAATTAAAAGTGTCTTCTCTCACCCACCTCCCCCACCTTCCTTGCTCGCTACTACGCCTCGGCGACAATCTGGCTGCAATGACAAAGTTGCGGGCTTTGGGGAACGCGCACAATACGTCTCTGAATGGGATCTTGGAAGTTTGGACAAACGACCCCCTTCCCTGCTAGATTGGGTGGCATGGTCACTAATCACCGCAAGCGGCAGGCAAACGAAACCTCCTCGGATACTGGGCTAATCCTCCTTTCATTTTGTTCTGTCAACTGACGACGTATAGTGGTCCTATCTAGTGGTGCACCATTGATGAGTATTTATTAGCCTCTATATTACACTACCTCCGCAAGCCCTTAGGGGCGGAAGGGCCTTAAGTCATAACATGTCAGTCAGACAGGGTAAACATGACGATCAGATAGGTAACTGGCTTTGATATCGCTCCAGGAGGGCAAAGGGGGAGTAGGTTCATAGGTCGTCTTCTCGCGTTCATACCAATTGACTTTCCAGTGTTCCAGGCTCCATGAGCCCTGCTTCGCGATCGACTTGAAGCGTTGCACATCGATAACCTCGCCGGGGTCAAAGGTGCAACGAACGATGGACGTCCCTTCGACGATTTCTCGCATCACCTGCGGAAACTTGTCAAACATATAAGAGTCATTGAAGGCTGGGAAGATAGCGGCCGCCCAATTTCTCTGGGTGTTTCTCCTCGTTCCATACGGCTCTAGCGGAAGGTCACCGCTTTGGAAACATTCGTCCATCGCCTGCTGCCATGCAGCGTCGCGCAGAACGATATTCTGAAACACTTCTGTACACTGCGGATCACCCTCTCCGTCCAAGACTAATGTGAATGACTTGGCGGGCATGCCGGCGGAGATAAGTGGCAGGGTCTCAATGACCCAGCGCGCGACGGCGAACGACATCTCGTTAGCCTCCAGATCTCGATAGTCTTTTGTCCGCTCACCGATTGCCCATGCCCCTAACCCTGAATTGTAGAAGAAGGCATTTTGCCACAAGCTGACGCGTCGTTCTATCCTCAAACCGGGATTTTCTTGACAGTAGGGGATCAACCCCATAGCGTGACACTCGGGGTTCGACACAGACTCCCGATCTTCGATCAGCACGATATCTCTCATGTGCGCTCGGGTCGCAGGCGTATTGGAGTCCAAGAACTGCTTGCCGAAGACACGCAAAACGACATACTCACACGGCGGCGCGGGCCGTCAAGGTCGACGGCAGAGGTCGATCGTCAAGGTCGGCCACAAAGGTCGAAGGCGGACTACAAGCATGAATCAGCGCAAGTTCATCTCACAACGGCTGCCAATGTGTAATGCATCTTCAGGAATGGAATGACGCACCGGACAGAGGAGACTCACTCACACTCACCGGAGATGTTCTGAACTCTAACGTCGACGCAGAGGGTTCCGGAGAAAGGGCCAATATGGCCAGTATCTTGCTGCTCTTCTTCTCCTGTCAGTCGTTGATCAGCGCGTGATAAAAGTGCCGTCATACTTGCCGTACCAGAGCTCGCAAGGATTCTTTCCATCCTCATCACATTCCATATCATACACAAGTACAGACACTGCTTTGAAAGTGGTAAGCGTCTGTCACAGAGATAGAGCAGAAGCAATTGTGGCCTACCTTCACCACTTACAAGCAAAACCACCAAGCAAACACCACCAAACAAACACCACAACATACCCCAGCTGAACAAATTGTCAGACAACCACTTCGACGCACACCTACTCTGCTGACTCATGGTTAGCTTTGATCATCCAAACAGAGAATCAGAGGGAGAGAACCCACCAAGTAACACACAGTTGGCACTCGGCGGGCTGAGACACTCTCAGGAGAGTGTTAGTGACTGGCATGAAAATGGCAGAAAAAGAGGGAGACGAACCTTACCCAACAATGTCAATCAGCAAGTCGGCCCCTCTCGGGCTGGGCGCCCTCTTCTAATAAAGTCTGATTAGCAGAGTTCATCCGCAGAGGCGGTCTGGCCACCCGAACAACAAAACATCGTCATAGCGTATGGAATGGACTAACCGGCCAGCTCAACGCCGAGGCAATCGTGGCCAGCGAGGGCAAGCCCAAGGACTGGCGCAGAGCCTTCCGGCGGTGCGGAATCCGCCTGGGCGAGACCACCAACGCCGTGGACAGCCGGGCCGGCACGGACCAAAAGATCCCTGGGGAAGTTAGCTTTTGACGTCTGCTCGAACAGAGAGCGGCTTACGGCAGATCGACGCCGGGCTCGAAATCATGCTCAGAGGAGCTTCCAACGCGGAGAAGCGCCTTATCATGAGCCGGAGGGCGTTGTTGAGAGGTCCATTGACCCGTACGGAGAAGGAAGCCATCGTGCTGGATCTGGCTACCCACGTAGGCTGGCACCAGGAGGTCTTGTGTGCGTTGGAGTGGGTGAAGTTGGCCGTCTGGGCGTAGGGCTGGAACTTGGAAGGAATCTGTTAGACCTGTTACCGATGTCTCATGTGAAAGAGGAAAGGGGGCGGCCATACTCACGCGGCGGAAGGTCGGGCGGAAGCTGCTTGAACACGATTGTTAGCATGTCCGAGCAACGCGATGAACGGGGGTAGGCCTCGTACTCGATGAAGGGGGGTAATAATCGGAGTTCGTTTGGCTGCTGGTAGGACTCAGCCCGCCAGTCAGTCAAAAGTCTCGCAGCATGAGGCAAGAAGCAACGTGGAGGAAGTCAACTTACTTAGTAGTTAGGAATGTAGTGCAATATACCCAGTTTTCCTAGACCCAGAGACCTGTCAGTCATGCGAGCGAGGAATGCAAGGCCGTCAAAGATCTCACCCGTCACACAATATGTCGTACACATTGGTGCCCCGGCGGATGCCTCCGCCGAGGGGTGAAGGGCAAAATGAGTGTTGCATTGCAGGTATGGGCTAAGATCTGCTACTGTACAAAGACGAAGCTGGCTGACATGATGAAGTGAAATTCCGTGGCATCAACCAGGAACAAAAGGAAAACAGAGGAGAAGAAGGATAAGAAAGGCCCAGGGCGAGCAAGGCAATGAGGCGACACCGACAAGCTGGCAGCGGTCTTGGGTACACTAGTCCTGGGCCCAAAGAAACGCGCGGCTCCATGACATACATCGACGTGTGGAAAGAACGAAGAGCGCAACGAAAGACAAATAAGGAAAGACGCAAAGAAAGGAAGAGACAAAACGACCAGTGGCCTCCGAAGGAAAGGTCAGAAGGTGCGGCAACGGTGAGCACGGCTGCCGATGTCTGCTTGCCGCGATCAATAGGGAAGCGGCATGTGCTTGGCCGTCCACCTGAATTGAGCGATATCGAAATGGTGAATGGCCCACGCGGTGGCGATGTTAGCCTCAGTTGTGACCAGCATGTCGAATTGGACTGCACGGACGTGTTTGCGCAAGCGACTGCGTTCGAAGGAGAGCTGATCGCAATGGGCAAAGAGATGTTCGGCCGTTTGCTTCGGTTTACCACAGCGGCATCGGTGTGTGTCGACCAACTGGAGTAAAGACGAGAGGTCAGACTTGCAGAGTCAAAGAGTGAAACTTCAAGAAGTGGTTCGAAAGAAAGTCAACAGGTGGAAGAGAGAGAGAGAGAGAGAGAGAGAGAGAGAAGGAGAGAGAGAGAAAGAAAAAAGGAAAGAGAAAAGAAAAAAGGAAAGAGAAAAGAAAAAAGGAAAGAGAAAAGAAAATGGCATGGACCCACCGGTACTTTCGTCGGGAGCGACGACAGATAGCCGTTCAACCCTATCACTCCACTGCGGCAATGGAACAACATGGTACTCTGAGCACGTGTGAGCCCTTGGTAGTACTTGAGACTCTCTGGGCCCCAGTCTTCCTTGAGAGCCGGAGTGTCGCGGTTGATATTGCGGACCTTGCCACTTCGTTCGTTCCTGTATCTAACCCACGCTAGACTGCTCCTCTTCATGGAGATGTTCTTCAGGTAGCCCTTGATGATGGCCTTGCGGCGGTCAGGATTAGCCCAGCCCTCGGCCTCTGCCTGCACGGCCTGCTCAGGAGTCCCGTCTCCTCTGGAAAGATGCTTGTCCAAAACCTTTTGGCGCATCTCGAGCCACATGGGTTCCGCCTGGCTGTAGAGGGCTTTGTAGGGATGAGCTTCTAACTCCTGCTCGGTTGCTACGTCTGTGAAGACATTGTCCCACATTGCCTTGAGTTCTCGATACTCTGGTGAATAGAGGTTGTTGATCCGATGCCTGAGCGCAAGCTGTTCGAGATATACCGACAAATAAACCATGTGCAGCTCCTTGTGAATGACCTCCGAGGCAGAGGCCTGGAATCCACCAGCCACGAATCGCAGAAAACGCGCCTGTTCCGAGTCAAGGGAATCGATCAGTGCCTTTGTCAGCTGGCCTCGGATCTTCTGGCCTCGACCGTCGATGAACCAAACGGGACAGGCGTATGAGAAGATGGGAAGAACCCAACTGACGTAAAGACTCTTCATCTCGTGCAATGATGGCCCCCAAGTCGATCCAGATATTCTGCGAAGATGGATCATCCTCCTCCTGGCTTTGGCAAAAATCTGTCGACATAAAGGTTAGCCATGAGAGAAAAAAGACCAAGGCAAGTGAAAGGTGAATGGTGACTTACGTGTGCGATGTGTGCCGCCCATTTGAGTTGCGAATCCACAATGACGCCGAGCAAAAGGAGTTCTGTCTGTAGACAGTCCTTGGGAAGGCCTGGGATATCTGGAAGCTCGGTGCTTAGCGGTCCATGAGTCATGGGCTTCCTGAAATGCATGACGAATGTCTTATGAGGACCGAAGAAGATGCCGTTGAGTGATGCCCAGCCCACCAAATTTTCGAATAGGAACTTCAATGCTTGGCAGTTTTGAGCTTCCGAAGGAGACGTGACGAGAATGTTGGTGTCGTCAACGTAAGAGATGGCCAGCGCAAACTTTGCGTACGGACAAGAGACTTGGAGAGCCTCTAGGATGGGACTCGAAAAGAAGAGGAAGAGAATGGGAGACAAAGGGCTGCCCTGAGGGATGCCAATATCGACCCAAAACTCTTCCGAGGTGTGTCCGGGAAGTTTGAGCACAGTCTTTCGGTCGCTGAGGAACGACCAGACAAATCGCACAATCCAATCGGGAACGCCCTTCTGACGAAGAATCTTCAGCAGCTCGAACCGTCGGACGTGATCGTACGCGCCCGTAATATCAATCGTCATCAACGTGGCTTTCAACTTGGCACGGCCAGTAGGGGACCAACACTGTTGCACTAAATTGATGAGATGCTCTAGTGCCTTGGTTGTGGATTTGCCGGGTAAGCCAAACTGCGTCGAGGGTATCAGGTCGCTGTGCTCCAGGGCCAGTTTCTTGAGGCGATCTGCAACGATCCTCTCAATCAGCTTGCCAACGACGGATAGTAGAGCCACTGGGCGGTAGGCTTTTGGGCTCGTGTAGTCGTCTTTGTTGGCTTTGGGCAAGATGACCGTAATCGAGGGTTTGAAAGCGTCCGGGTGGTACGAGTGGAACAGGCAGGCCTGCGCTCCACGTTTGACGTAAGGATGGATGATGCTGCTCACGCTCACTCCAAGAGCTTCATCGTGTCCGCCGTGGACAGCCTCGTCGGGAACCTCGTCGAAAGGGTCGTGGAGCATCTTGAGGGCATCAGGCGAAACTCCATCTGGCCCGGCAGCCTTGCCACGGGTGAGGCTTGACATAACAGCTTTGACATCATCGTCGCTGACAACTGAGTTGGCAAAGAGCTGGGGTCGTAGAGGGTCGGGGTCGGGAAGCAGAAGAGGGGACGCTGTAGGGCCTTCGCTGGTATTGGGCCAAACTGATCCCCGGAGGCACTGCGCGTTCTCCTCAAGGCTTGTGCACTTGGTCTTGTCTGGTCTAAAGAGGAAAGGCATCTGGCCAGAAACGCGTGGCTTGCTCAAGAGGGCGCCTATCTTGGCACGCTTGTGGATGGTTGGGGACTTCTTGCTATCCCCAGAAAGCATTGCCCGCCACTCCTTCGTCTTTTCAGCCCTGGCCTGGAATTCAAGGCGTCGCTGCAAAGCGTCAAAGTCATCCTCCGTATCTAGATCGGTGCCAAGGTGACTCGAAGCCTGTTGCTCAAGTCCTAGATGTTGCTTGTCCCGCAATGGCGGCGGCTTAGGGCGGCGGCGGATGCCGGGAGGACTGGCGAGGGGAACATATAAAGGGATGGCGAGTCGAATGATGTCGTTGAACCTTGCAAAATACTCGTTGACGTGGGTTTTGCTCGTAAGTGGCAGATCCAGCAAGCCAGAATGGACCAGTTCCTGCTTCACATGTGCACGAAACCCGGCAACGTCGGCCTTGTCCCAAAGGTAGCGATCGCTGGAGACTCGGTCGGGCTCCATGAGTAGAACGGTCTGAACGATACGATGATCTGAAGCAAAGTTGTTCTCTTTTGGAACTTTCCAGTCCGCAAAACGATGCAGTAAATTTTGGCTGAGAAAGGCGAGGTCGATGGTGGAGGTGTTCTTGAATAAGTCTTCACCTCGGCTGTACGTCAAGGTGCCCGGTTCAACGAGACACTGCATTCCAGCCTGCTGAGTCCCGTGGAGAAGACTATGTGCGTCAGGACTTGTATTTCCGACCATCCTGTCACCGCTCCAGTAGGGGTGGTGTAGGTTGAAATCGCCGAGAAGGAGGTTGTCTTGGCCCAAGGTACAAGTCATCAAAAGTCTGTCAATGTTGATGTTCGTGAGGCGGTTGTAGACGTTGTGAATGTTGATCAGACCGGCCGAGGTCGAGAGAGCTAACGTCGCAGCCAAAGCCTCCTTGTGTCGCCGCGTCGGGGGGTCTAGGCGGTCAAGGCGATCCTGGAAGTTCTGGGGGTCCTCTTCTAGGTCCTCGTGAAAAACTGGATGCCATTCTCCAACACTAATTGTGTCTATCACCAAGAATGCCACTGGATCAAGATCCACAGGCACCCGAGGCTCCTTTTTGTCCCTCTTGTTTGGCGAGCACGGCATATATGGATGATCATCCTCGCGGAGAGTTCGGGCTGTTCGGTACACCGGTCTATAATTCTCGGTAGCAGTCCATGGAAGTTGGCTTGGAGGATCTTGAATGGCAATGATATGAGGCGGTCCTTCGGGTCGTGTGTTTTGGGTATGGGTTACAAGTTTTTCTAAACGTTGTTTGCTCCCTTTCGCGTTGAACTGCCAAATGACTAGGGTTCCTTCAACCCGGCTTTTCGAGGAAGAAACGTTGGCACCCATGGCCTATACTTCGGGGCCAAGGTAATGGCTGTTGTCTGTGAAGTGGAAGGCCACGATAAGGGGAAGGGGGGGAAAGGCCAAACGGGGTTTGACGTTCGGTCAATGTAGAGAGTTTGGAAGAGGGTGAAGGAATGGAGTTGGAAGCCATGAAGGTGGAGAGATGTAGAAAACGATGTCGGATTGGAAGTCCAAATCGACCGCGAGTCAGGACCACCGCAAGGGCCACCAAAGGTCACTTTATCAATTTCCAACAGCTCGGCAGCAGACAGACAGTTCAAGTCCTTGGTAAGTGAGAACTACCAGATATCACCACCATACTTGTAACGTGTGACATGGTGTTGCCTCGGCCTAACAGTGTTTAATTACTTGTAGGGCACGCTATTCCAACTTCCCTGTCATGGAGTAAATTCAGGACAGGATTCTGTGTGAGTCCGGAGCACGAAAATCCAGCTTGAAACGAATGGAGTATCTCACCTCGGGAAGCGGCACCAGGATCTTGGGTACGCTCACGTAACATACCTCGTTACGATCTGGCTAACTGTCAGAAACAAAATCACAGTACCTCACAAGTTGCAGTACATCACCTTAGGTTCGTAGATCACGGGCGAGGCAGGTATTATCTACCTTGGTGATCAAGCGCTACATTGCGCAGCAGGTAGATAGTGGAAGTCTTTGAGAACCTTGACCGTAACTTGAAAACGTATGTCGCGTGGAGTTGGTCCACGGATGGTCCCATTACAGAACCCACAAGGTTTCGACATGTCAGCCGACGAATAAATTGCAAGGTACGGACATGGAGTAATTAGTGATGCTTCTGAAGGAGGAGAGTTCAGTCCGGCGTCACACGTGCGGCGTCCGCCATGCGCTCCCCACTCCCCAATCGTTCCAAAATTGCAATAGTGTACCATTGGCGGACATCTACGGATACAGGCCAAGACCCAAATCGTCACCAACCCGGGCCCAGACCCGAGGGATAATTCTAAAAGGCGGATAAGGGACCTGCTACTGTAATTGTTTCAGTACAATATGGAGCCCCCTAATCTACCTGAGCACGACGCAACTGGCATATTGTCGGTATGGCAACCGAAGTGCCTGGAGTTTTGGCTCCCAAGACACATGAATGATGGAACAAACTTGTGTGTCTAGGATCCTTCCTTATCATTCTTCATGCAGGGGAAGGCCGCCAGGCGACAGGTCTCACCAGTGCCGCGGTTTTGCCAGGTCTATCTGTTCCAGGGTCTCAAGTCTAGATTCGGTGATATCCACTGCACCGTCATGAATCACCAACCACTATATTACTCGTGGACCATGAGTCCGCACTCCATGGGTCCCTTTTCAAGGCGTAAAGGGGGCGAGGTCGATGGGGCCTTGGCGCCATGGCCCCCTCCAAGTTCCAGCGCGCTGCCAACCGTGAACGTTGAGCCACGTACGTAATTCCAAAGTGTAAAAAAGTTTTTCCATCCATCACAATCCCGACGACGACGACGACGACGACGACGACGAAGACGACCCTTGGAGGCCCACGGGCACTGTTACGTTGAGCAAGTAAAGCTATCTCTTTCAGTCCTGGGTCCCGAGTCCCTGCGCCTCTTTTCTTTTTCAAACCTCACACCGGACATTGTTTTCTCACAAAATACCCATGACTTGCATGGTTTTCTCTTTCTAATTTCCCAGGTATCCGATAGTGACACGGTACTTACTCTTCGGACGGTCAGACCTTTCAGGAGGCCGAGTGCCTCCCTCGTCTTCAGTGCGGGTTGTCTTGTGACTTCCCTCTTGCAGGGATAGGGGAGATTGCACAGCACAGCATTCCCACGCCGAATTAAACTAGAATATTCTCGCAGAATCTGCAATCACCCCCGAGCTGGTTGGTAGGGAGGCAAGGTGATAGGGGAAGTACCCATACCATTCGGTTGGGTATCCAGCCTGCAGCTGTCCTCTCAGATCGACACAGATTTCTCCCTGACACCTACTGCCATGCACTATTCTGCCTCGTTCCTCAATCCCTCTTCTTCTGGCTCATGATACACTCAAGGCCTTTGCGTCACTTCACTCGCCGAAAAGAACGCTACTTTTTCTCTTCACACGTCCCCGACGAAAGACACTAAACTCTAGAAGATGGCCGAAAGAATTCTGAAAACTTTAAGCAGAGGCTTAAAGCGTCAACGACCTCCTTCTGAATCGGACCATGACCAGCCCGATGCTCAGAGGGGACGCGTATACACTCCGTCTTCTTCCGCGGCAGGTAAGGCCTTTGGTCTCTAGCAAGTCACGGAATGTTGTGCACAGTTTTGGAAATCTTTCCTTTATTCTGTTCAAGTTCACAGGACTAACCTACCTCTTTTAACCTCAAAAGATTCGACCAGTGTCTTACCACCGACAGGGCCAACGCCAAGACCCGCGCCCGCACATCGAAGCCAGTCCCCTCCGCCCACGAAGACGTCACGAGCCGAGAATCTCAACCATATGATAAAGGAGCTACAAATGTTGCTTGGGACTAAAGAGGTCACTGTTAGCGTCGTACAAAGTTTGGTAGATCTCTACCAGAGCCAACTCTCATCGATCCCACAGCTCAGGACGCTCCTCCAAGGACCATCCCAAGATGGTCCTCTGGGGATACAAGAGGTCCTGAAGACTATTCGCTGAGTGACGTTCCAGAACGTCAAAATAAACTTGAGGCGTCCGTGGGTTGCTGCAACGGTGGGTGTCCGCACTGACCCCACAGCTGTGCATCTGCAGTGGATTTAGTGGCGCCAAGTACCTGTGACTTGTACTTGTACAAGTACACGATACTTTGCACGGGCGCCACCTCAAAAACGACGGTAGTGTTCGTCTCTCCTCTCCGTCGCCCACCCAACTTTGGACGACACCCCGCCACCTCGTCTTTCGTCTCCCACTGCCGTAGCAAGATTACCCCGACCCGCCATCACCGTCGCCCATCGAGGCAAACACAATCCGTAAAGGAACACCTCACGCCATTGAATCATTCCTTTCTAGGGTTGGATTCTATTTGCATACTCTTGCATCCAAGACCATGGCAAGTTCCAGCTAATTTCTATGCAATGGTGGTGGTGGTGGTGGTGGTCATGCCGCATTCCAACCCGACATCTCCCATCACCTCTCCTCCATCCAGTCCGTTGATGTAACACGACGGACGACGCACTCCACGTCCACCTCACAACACCACCTCCGCATCAAAACGACGGCAACTGCTTCGCATCCCTCATACGTTCCCATGCAGTAAAATACCCCTCCACCGTGTCAATCTCCTCCTCGAACCCGACCTCGCGCGCTCGCGTAAGATCGTACTCGCGATCAAAGTCGCACTGCACCAACATTAAGTGCAGGAAATCCCAATTGTACTCCCTCGCAGCGCCCTCATCTAGCTCGTGCTCCCGCGCCAGCGCGACCCATGCGTCGTCGTGCTTCGCGATAAAGGCCTTCATCGACGGTGGGTTCGTCGATCCGGACGCGGTACCTGTGCCGGTGTCGGCATCGGCATCAGTTTCGTTGTTGGTATCGGCGCCGGAGGGCGGAGGAGGAGGAGAAGAAGGCGCCACCCCGACGAGACCAAAGTGCGCGCACAACCGAGGCCACACCCCCGACCACGAAGACACGGCCTCGCCGTCCGCGACATTAAACGCTTTCCCACCGCCGCATTCCTCCGGATTCACCACCGCCGCGAAAATTTCCATCTTGGAGAGCACGTCCTGGAACGTATCCGTGTGCGTGGCGCGGTACCCCCTCAGGGACCCCGGAAACGGCACCTCCACTCGACGTCCGACCCCGCCAGCTTTGACACCGTCTCCGTCTCTGTCGCCTCCTCCGACTCCAACTCCAACCCCGACCCCGACCCCGCCACCAGCCCCTGTACCAAAAACATACCGCCAAACAGACAAATAAATCCCAACCCCCCTCGCCATATTCATCGCATTCGCCGTCGGCGCAAACCCCACAATCCCATCCGGTCGGATCTCGGAAAACGTCCTCCCTTTTCCCCGCGACAGCTCCTGCAGCAGGTCGTGCTGCGCGTAGTAAAACACCTCGTCGGCCCACGGCCGCGGGATCCGCGGGGCGTCTTCGCGGAGCGGGGTGCGCAGCACGCGCACGGTGTCCGGGCACATTAATCCGTACCCTCTTCCGCCCGTCTGTAAGACGACAAACGCGAGACGCGGGGATACCTTTTCGATGGCTTGGATCGCGACGGAGAGGAATTCCGTGTTGGCTGTTGCTGCGGCTTGGTCCGCGGGACCGTTGGCGCTCGTGTAGGCTGCATCATCCCCGCGACGCCGTTAGCGCAAATTCAGATTCCGGAACAAAACTCTCCCCGCCCACCCTTTCTTCAAGTAAGGTACTTATGCAAAGCATGCAAGTTTCTGCTCACGTACCGGTATAAAAGACGTGAGAAACAGTCTCCACATCAGGGATCTTCTCCCTCATCGCCGCCGCGACATCGTCCACACCCCTCGTGAAATCGATCCCAGACACGATCGCCAAACGGGGGTCATCCGCAGGCAGCCGCGCCTCTTCGAGGGTCAATGCCCGGTTAGTGGTGCCGGTGATGCGGGCAAACGTCGTGGGCGTGGGGTATGTCCTGGCTTGGTTGAGAAGGGACCAGCCTGAGATGCCCGAGGCGCCGAGGATGAGTGCGTGTGCCATTTTTCTTTTGGTGGGTGTTTTCGTCTCTGGATTGTTGGGATCATGCGTCTTTGGGGTTGAAGTAGTCGACACGGAGACAGGTAGGTGGGCTGTTGTATAGGCTTTCTCTGACCAACTCCTCGGGCTTGAGATTGATGTGGTGCTTCGTGGTGATGTCGTGTTGTGGTGTGTGGCTGACTAACAGCGACGGACGCTACGCGGAATCCAATTCCCGAGAGTGATTGGTAACGGCGTACTTGACGTTTCTAACGTGACTTTGGGGCTAGTCAATGCTGTAACTTGAAGAACTAGAAGAATTACAAGGGCTCGAGGATTGTTTTCGTAACAGTCAATCGAGTGGGCGTTTGTTGCACGGTGGGCTGACTGACGACATGTCGTGAGGCAGCGTCACGGCTTGAAACCAGGAGACTGAGGAGTAAACCTCCTCCCCACAACACTTGCGTTCAGGCCGTGAGCCTTACTAGACATGGCCTAAATATAAGATAATCCCGGATCCACATTCGGGATCATCTTTTTCTTGCCCCTTCGCTCTCGTGATAATGGTGTTGAAATTGCTTTCCACCTCCCCAACCCTCCTTCTTCGTGGTTTTTCTCGTAGACATGTTGTAACACGAGATCCACTTTGACACTGACCCCCATCCTATGGAATCCAGAGACAGGAGAGGTATTCTATACTCGTGATTTGATGTTGGCAGGCATACCTTGGCACGGCAGATATGTCTACGCTTACATTGGGTATAGACAATGGTAGGTGGACCCGTAGAACAAGGAGAGTCCCTCCCTCGGGAGAATACCTTACCATTCATTCCATCCCCTTTACACGCTCTCGCATTCCTCCATCAATCAAACGCAGCGCCACGATCGGGAAAGTGTTTGAAAAGGGGAAAATTGCCATGAAGCCATACCTACACACGTCCGGACTATGCCCCGCTTATTCCGGCTCTTGGGCCAATGTCAACTCTAGCCCCGCCGGACCCACCCCGACGGCCGCTCCGGCGTCATTCGTCCTGCCGCTGGTTGCTCCTGCTGCCGAGGGCTCCTGCTTGGAACATGGTACATACCGACGAGAACCACGAGAAAGATGGACGAGAGAGAATTAGGGGGGAGTTAGCTGAAGAATGATCTACGGCTGTAGCGATTGAGTGAGGATAAGGCAATCAAGATGCAACTCATGGGTCCTGGACGCTTGATCTCTACGTGCATCACAGAGCAATCCGTGCCTTGATGTGAGTGAGGGCTCCGTCTGAGGTCATCACCGGGTTTCTGCCTCCACGTTCCCGTCAAGTTCTCTCTTTATGAGGTGATTATATGATTATTGAGTCACCGAATTCTCACGGTATCCTTGTGAGAGTTATACCTCATCTCTCAAAAAGCAACAAGATGCAGAGAGTGTTCCATGGTGATGACTTGGGAGTGTTGACGAGGGGAGAGGTGTGGGTTTGGGAGGATGACTCATCCCCGGCAAAATGGCATTTTGCCGACGAAACCGGAGAGAGACGAAAGCTCGGGCCGCTGCCAGCTGCCGGTGCGTTGTGAAATCTGACAAAGCAACAAAAACTGGCAAGCCTGGCCGCCTCGGCATCCTGACATTTCGCCGTCATCGGTGTGAAAGGGCGCCCTCTGACACATACTTGTAATGTCCCTGGCAGTAAGGTAAGGTAGGTAATTAGGTATGCGTATGTGAGTTTTGTTGGTCAATTGAACCATGGGCAACGCTTTCAAAGAGATGTATCGGACTTGAACCTTGCCATTTTTCTTCCTTGTCTTTGTTTTTTGCCTTGACTTTTCTCTCTCTCTTTCTCTCTTTCAACCTCTCTTCTCCCCCGCTATCCGTATCCGCACCCCGAGAGATGCCATTCCCGCCATGGCGGCCCGCAACAGCACCCCGCCCAGCGGCACGACGGAGACCCGGAGCCGCGGTGAAAGGAGAAGCCCCTTTGACGACGGACCTCTTCCGCCCATCAAATCAACCGCCTGCCGCCGATGCCATTCGCGAAAAGTAAAGTGCTCCGGCGACCAGCCCTGCCAGAATTGTCGGCACGCCGGGAAAGGTGCCGAGTGCACCTACCCGCGCCGCAATAGACAGGTCAAGGTCAGACAAAGGTACTTGACATTTGAACGAAATCCGGGCAATTACAAAATACACACGGTGTTCTGTTTTTTTTATTGTTTTTATTTTTTATTTTCTTTTTGCTTTCTTCTTCCTTTCCCCTACCATAAGACTACGGGATGATGATGAGCTCATGCCAAATTATTTGTAAAATCACAGTTACATTGACGGTCTTTTGGACGAGATCCGTCGTCTCAAGAGTCAAGTTGCCTCTCAGAGCGCTTCAACTTCCACATGTGCGCCGTTGGATGACGTGACATCAATAACGAGGACGACAGCAACACCATCTCAGAATACCAGCTACACTAGCAACAGAGAAGTACTATCGACACCAACGTCCGCAAACCCAGGCGATAATGAAGAGCCCACAGCAGTGGCAGCGGCAGCGGCAGCAGTGGAAGAAGCAGCAGCAGCAGCAGCAGCAGCAGCAGCAGCAGCAGCAGCAGCAGCAGCCGGGGCCGCAGCTCCAGTAACAGCAACACTCGAAGTGAAACCGTGGTTCATCAACGCCAACGTCTTCCGCACCCCGATCCTCATCGGCGAGGTCGCCGACGCCGCCTTCTCCACCCGCTTCCGCCAAGTCATCTCGGACCCTTACGCGCCCCAACCCCGCCACATGCTCCGCGTAAACTACGCCCCCGACGCCGAGCTCATGGCCCTCGTCAAGTCCTCCGACGTCGCCTGGCCCACGCCCTCGCGCTCCCGCTTCCTCGTCGAGGTGGCCCTCAAGTACGTCGCCCGCCGGTACCACGTCGTCCGCCGCAGCGCCGTCATGCGCGACCTCGAGCAGAGCATCCACAACCCCTCCTGGGGCGACCTCATGCTCCGCTCCAAGCTCTGGGCCCTCTTCGCCATCGGCGAGCTCTACTCCACCCGCTCCATCCCCTCGGAGAAGGACTTCCCCGGCATGCCCTACTTCGCCAAAGCCTCGCGCGTCCTCGGCGTCCTCGACGAGCGGCCCGGCACCGACTCGATCGAGATCATGCTGCTCCTGTCCTTTTACTCGCTGGCCCTCAACCGCCGGTACAGCGCCTTCGTCATGTCCGGCACGGCCATGCGCATGGCCATCGTCATGGGCCTGCACCTCAACATACCCGAATCCCAGCTGCGCGACCCGGACCTGCGCGAGCACCGCAAGCGCCTCTTCTGGACGACGTACATCTTTGACCGCATCTGGGCCTCCAAGCTCGGCCACCCGACCGCCATCCAGGACAGCGACGGCGGCGGCGCGGACGCACGCGGCCGACTTTGAGGATACTGCCTACCACGTGGCGAGCCTGCGGCTGGCGGCCCTCATTACCAAGACGGTGCGCTCCATTTACGGCCAGCGCAGCCAGGGCGAGGCGACGACTTTGTCGACGAGGGTGCAGCAGGCGCTCAAGGATCTCAGGGCGTGGGTGGAGGATTTGCCTGCCCATTTGCAGATTGATAATGCAGGGACCGGACCGAAGCCTATTTCGCTGCATTTATCTTTTAATCAGGTATTTTTGCTCATTCCGACACTTTACACACACACACACACACACACTTGAAGAGACAAGTCTGTACTAACACACACCCTACCAAAAGTGCGCAATCCTAGCAACCCGCCCCATCCTACTCCACATCCTACGAACCCAAGTCGCCTCCTGGCCGTCCACCACCACCACAACGACCACCCCCGAAACCCAAGTCCCCGCCAGCGCCGTCACGCTCTCAGAAGCCTGCATCCGCTGCGCGCGGCACTCGATCCGCCTCCTCACCGACTCGTGGATCGACGGGTCCTTTGCGACGTTTGACTACTTTTACACGCAGTACCTCTTTTCCGCGCTGACGATCCTCGCCGCCTCGAGTCTCCTGCAGGACAGCCACGGGGCGACGCCCAACGACGACAAGGAGGCCTTTGAGGAATCGGTCAGGTTCCTCTCGCAGCTGCGGGACGCGGGGAACTTTGCTGCGCAGGAGTATTGTCACCACGTTGACGTGATGAGGGCTGAGCTTGATAGGTTTTACGCGAAGCGGACGGGGAGGGCGGATGCTGAGCAGCCGCAGCAGCAGGTGCAGCAGGAACAGGCGTCCTCTTATGGTGGAGTACCACAACCACCGCCGTCGCACGGACCCGGGCCCGAATCGGAATCCGGCCCGCTCATGACGTCGCAATTCGGTCTGGGTGGTGGACTACCTGTCAGGGCCGGGCCCACAACGGCGGGAATGGCGCTGACGGAGCCGTCGTTGGAGGAGCTCCTTGCGCAGCCGGTGTTGGATCTGCAGTTTTTGGAGGCGTCGTTTTATGATGACTTGCAGGCGTTGTATTGGCCTGATTTTAGCGCGGAGAATTGGGATACGTGGGCTTCTACTTGAAGGTCGTGGTAATGTGAGAGCGGGAGGGGATGGGGGCGGGCTTTGGAGCAGGAAGGTTGTTCAAAGATGAACGGAAGCAAACCATTCCGTCTCCATTGATGTAAATGTATGCAGTGAACCGCCATGTGAAAGAATTCAATTTCAAAAAGAAAGAAAAAAAGAGATGAGATCACGTCAAGTTTGTTTTATTTGCGGGATCATTTTCTTCCGGGGAGGTGGCCCAGGTGGGGGCAACGGACACGGGAGAACTGGTACTCTTTCCCGATTCGATGGAGACAAGGGTCCGTGATTGGGGGGAATTTCCTGTCCTTGTTCTGTTCGGATTTCTTGGCTTCATTTTAGATTTCGTGGGGTTATGAGACGGGACCGATTTTCGGTATGCCCCGTCCGGCTGGAAGGACATGGTTACATTCTAGGGGTAAGGTACGCATGGGTTCCCGCACTTCACGCAACGTGATGAAAGTTGTTGCAATCTAGAGATCTGGGCGAAGCGGCTTTCAGTGGTCAACCTGGATCACAATCAATGTCTTCTCTCTTGGCAGAAATCGACTCCTTAAAAAGGTATTGGATGGAAACTTCATTCCGACGCGACAAACCATCAACGCCAACCTCGTCCATCTACTTTGTCCCCCAAACCCTTCGCCCCTTCAGCCCATCCCTAGCCACACCAAAGCCATGCTCCCCTCCATCCCCAACCCACCACCGCGCACGTCCCACGCGTTCCCCTTCCTCCCCCTCCTCCTCCTCGTCAGCAGCGTGCACCACACAGCCGCCCGCGACATATTCGTCTCGCCCACGGGGACAAGCACAGGCACGGGAACCCTCGATGCGCCGTACGGCTCCATCCAATCGGCCGTCGGCGCCGCCGTCGCGGGCGACACGATTTTCCTCCGCGGGGGTACGTACGCGCCGACGGCGAATGTGCAGTTTGCCAAGAGCGGGACGCGGACGGCGCCGATTAGTGTGAGGCCGTATCCGGGGGAGAAGGTTGTTGTTGACGGGGAGAATATGCCGGGGTGAGTATTCGTGCCTTTGTCTTTAGTTTACTGTGTGTAATAGTGAGGTGTGGAGAATCGAGACTCTTGAGACATTGTGTTTGTGGGGAATGAGAACGTGGACTGACGTGGGGTGTGTGTACTGACTTTACCAGAACTCCCAAGGCGTTGGATGAGGCACTGCCTAATTCCGAGCGTGGGATTTTTCACATCCAGAATGCGAATTACTGGGCATTTTACGATTTAGAGTATGGCAAAACCCCTCCACTTCACTACTGAAATCATATGCGCGAACCAGCACAACTAACACACACACACCCCAAAAGACTCATCAACGGCCCCTACGGAATCTACGCCCGCGACGCCTCCCACAACACCTACACAAACCTCTCCACCCACGACAACTACGAAACCGGCTTCCAGCTCGAGGGCGCCTCGGCCAACAACACCGTCACGAACCTCGACTCCTACCGCAACCGCGACCCGCGCAAAAACGGCGAGAGCGCAGACGGGTTCGCGTGCAAGTCCGGCGCCGGCGAGGGCAACGTCCTGCGCAACGCCCGGCTGTGGGATAACGTCGACGACGGGCTGGACCTCTTCATGTTTGGATCTTCGGTCGTGCTGGAGGAGGTGTACGCGTGGGGCAACGGGTATAACCGGTGGGGGTTCGCGCCCTTTGAGGGGGACGGCAACGGGTTCAAGTTGGGCATCACGGGGAACCCTGTGGCGGATCACGTGGTGCGGAACTGTATCGCGTTTGGGAATTGGAAAAAGGGGTTTATTGATAATGGGAACCCGGGGAGTTTGACGTTTGAGAGGAATTCGGCGTGGAATAATGGGGATACGGGGTTCTTGATGCGTAGTTCGTCTTCGGTCATGCGGGGAAATGTGGCGGCTGTGAATGGGGCGGCGGGGAGCGCGCAGGTGAGTCTTGTGGGGACGGTGACGGCGACGGGGAATTCGTGGAATGATGGGACGGCGTGGACGAATGCATCCTTTGTGAGTGTTGATGCGTCGGTTTTGAAGGGGCCTAGGGGCGCGGATGGCAAGGTTGTGGGTAGTAGCTTTTTGGTTCCCAAGAGTGGTGTGGCTATTGGGGCGACTACGTTGCAGGAGGTTTGATTGCACGCGTGTTTGCGAGGGGGATTGAACGTGTCTTGTGTACAAGTTCTTGACTTCTTTTTCCTAGCATGTATTCGGACGTTTATAGTCTTTACATATAATAGGTGTAAAATGTCTAAGCTGTGCACCTAGTAAGCCAATGAAATTTGCGACCGTTAGATGTTTAAGAACTTACTAGACATCTATCTTGCTTGGGGAAGGGCGACTAGGTACGTAGTTGGATAGAGTATATTACTAATCAGAGTCAAGTCTGTGATTGGCCGACATGAAACAGTCCCCACCAGCACCGTTGCTCTCATATTGTGTTTTTTTTCTAAGTCTTCTCAAGGCGAGCACAGACGCTCCCTCCACAACCCAAACCCCAACCCTGGCCACATCTGCGGTCGATAGGCATGCATTTCGGCATACCCCCAAGTCCGTACCCACACAATGCTCAGATTCTCACCACCCCAATTCACCATATGCACGAATCAACAACCGCATCTCATGCCTTGGTCTCACGGTAGTTCTTGATCTCATCCCTCTTATCAACAGGGCGATTAGCATCGATGAAGCTCTTGGTGTCGTCGCGGGTGCACCAGCAAGCACCGGAGTTGCTATAGAAAAAAAACACATTGTCAGCCTCGTTGAAATTTTACCCTCTTTTCGACTGTATGAAACTAGAGTAGACGCTCCAGCGTGTAAGAATCTAGAACTTGCTTCGCCGTACACTAGCCCTCCGGTATGGTGAGCTTCTTGCAGAGCGTAGGGCAGCCCTGCTCTTCGCCGGCGGCGCAGCTTCGGACGCAGTTACTGTCGGGAGGCAGGAGACGTTAGCGGGACTTCTGACTGAGCGATGGCTGGAATGATGCATCATATATGGACTCTAGTAAGGGGAGAGAGAGAAATAGATAGTCGTCTTTATACCCGTTGAGGCAACGTCCGGACGCGCAGCCCGAAATCTCGTTTCTGTAGCACTTTGTGCCCGAGGTGGTGGCGTGGCCGTTCTAGCCGGCGAGGGTGCCGGGGATGGCGGCGAGGGCTAGGAAGGCGACGGCGAATGATGATGAATGCATTGTTTTTCTTTTTTTTCGGGAAAGTGAATAGAAAAGAGTGGAATGTAATAGTTGGATCGTAAAGAGCGAGATTAGGTAAAGAGCGTGGTGAAGTCTGAAGAGATGATTGGGGCGAATTGTCTAGTGTGGTGGAATACCTAGACTAAGTATACATGATTGCAAATACTATACTGCGGTGTAGATCGTTGCTGCAAGTAGTTGCGAGGCTGATTAGATAGAGATTAATTAACCGTGCGTTTCTGAGAGTGTTGCAAATTAATTAATATTGAGATCGAGTTAGGTGGGCATGTTGGCCGAGCCACCGACACCAGGTTCCTGGAGTTCAACGCACAAGAAATCTAATTGTCATTGGATTTGATGCGAGTAAAACGAGGAATGAGGATCGACGAGTTCTTTCTTTCTTTACGTCGCTACTTGTCAATTGGAGCTACTTTCATGGTAGCGACTTTACTTTTGTTTGTCTACATTATTCGCACAGTCGTAATGCAGCCTAGTAGGCAGATAAGCTAAAGAGTTGTTCGCAATACGACGCAATACGAAAACTCGGGCCCCAAATATTAGGCTTTCCAGTGTGGAATAGATTTTCCTGGTGTTCTTATAGACGAGACAGCATAGGGCCTATATTTGGTGCCACCTCCCACCGGGCCCCGTGGAGTGGGGGGGGGGGTTCTCTTGGAAGCCTAGAAAAGCTAAATTTGGCCGGCGCTGCCGATTAATGGCACCTCCGCGAGGACTTAGGCTGGCAAACTTGACTCAGTTGACAACTCTGCAACGCGACTAAACAGTCGGTCCCACTTAAATTCAGTACTTAGTCGCCTAGGAGTGGATACCATAGCTACTGCAACCACCTATGACGAGGGTCGGTCACCCGCAGTGACCGAAGCTTGGTCAAATTTCGAGACGTTCATCCAATTGTAAACGTGGGGTCCGTAATGAGCCCCCAAGACAATTTTGCCTTTTTTTCTTTTTGCTTGTACTTTTCGCTTTCGTGAACGGATTCTTAAATGTCCGTACTCTGCAAAAAGTATAGCCGTCTTTTGTGGGGAATCTGGAGCTATCCCGATCGGAGCTATCCAGACAATGAACCCGGGACGGCTGCGAACGGCCGCCTCATCCGTCTAGTTCAAAATGAGAAAGGAAAAACCCAAGTAAAACTTAAATCATCCTTCTTCTTAAATGAAGGTCCCTCGCGAGCCACAAGAATAGCAGTAACAGTTGACCCCGCTGGCGGTTTATCACAGTTTAGTTCACGTTGGAAGCCGCAGCTTGAAGCACCCTCAGTACTTTTGGTCCCTCAATCAGATAGTAATAATTATTCATCTTCTAGGGAACAGGCCAAGAAAGTGTAGGAAACTTCCAACAACACCATACCATGCAAAACCATCCCATTTAGTTTCCCTACCTTTTCCCGACTCCACTAATGCTGCATCCATCATCTCGCACATACCCTCATACATTCCATAAAGTACAAATGACATATGTGCACATCACGACAAATCCCTCTTCGCAGGCGGGAGAACCAGCTCATCCCGTCCCACAACTTCAACCGTACTCTCCCTCCCGCGCCACAGATACCTCACGTGAAGCGCTTTCCGCCGCAACGGCGCCGGGTCCCAGAACCCCAGCAGCGAAGCCTTCCTCACCCCGGCCGGGATCCGCAGCCTCCCGTCCTCCACCAGCGCTGCTACTGCGACGGTGACGTCTGCGACCTCTTCCGCGGCCCAGCAGTCTGGATCACCGTCACCATCACCCTCGTCTTCCCCGTCCCCGGCCTCACGCTGACCCTCACCATCACCCCTGACGCCAAATTTCGCGCTAAGGATGACAA